CCCCCCTCCCCCTCCCCCCCCCCCCATGGTATCCCCCCCTTCCCTCCCCTGTGGTGTGAGGTCCCCCCGCCCCGCTGTGGTGTGGGCCCTGTGCTGTGGTGCTTTTCCCCCCCCGCCGCCCCTGCGGTATCCCCCCCCTCCCCTCCCCTGTGGTGTGGGGTCCCCCCGCCCCCCCCCCTGTGGTGTGGGCCCTGTGGTGCAGTATCCGGTGGTGCTCTGCATGATCATCATCATGAACATGAACATGATGGTCCCCCTGCCCCGTGGTGTGGTGTGGTGTGGTTCGGGGTTTGGGATGGTTTGGGTCTGCGTGGGGTGCCTCCCCCCCCCTGTGGTGTGGTGTGGTGTGGTTCGGGGTTTCGGTCTGCTTGGGGTGCTTTGTGTAATCATCAGCATCACCATCATCATCATCATCATGATCATCATCATGAAAATGATGGTCCCCCTGCTCCCCCCCTGTGATGTGGCGTGGTTTTGGGTTTTGGTCTGCGTGGGGTGCCTCCCCCTGGGTCTGCGTGGGGTGCCTCCCTCCCGGTGCCGGTGTGGCGTGCTTCGGGGTTTGGGCCTGCTTGGGCTGTTTGGTATAATAATCATCATCACTACCATCACCATCATCACCATCACCATCATCACCATCATCAAGATCATGAACATGATCATCATGATCATCATCATGTCGTTCCTTTCTGTTTATTTATCTTGTGTCACACTGGCAATCTTCCTGACAATTGGGCACAGAGATCGGGCCTGTCAGGGACGCGGTCCTGTTCACAGTTGCCTGGGTTCGGACGGAAGGTGTCCACTGTCACAAGGATCGGGCGTGTTTGGAACGCGATCCTCGTGACAGTTACCGGTTTTGGTGCCTTCATGTGGGAGACGTGCACGGTGAGGGGCGCCATCCTCGTGACAGTTGACGGTTTTGGAGCCTTTACGTGGGAGTCACAGAAAAGGGCTCCGGGGGGGGGGGGATACCATGGGGGGGGGGGGGGGGGGGGGTGGGGGCCCGGGACCCGAGAGCATATATTCTCGGTTCCCTAGCCCCTTCTCCCCCACGCCATAATGATACTCCCCCCCGGTGCACGCCCTATTTTCTCCGAACCATCCTGAAAGCAGCCGTCATTTCGGAAAGTGCCATAGTCATACCCCAGTAAACCACAGTGAGGAATTACCACAGGGTGTCATCGCAATGATCCGATCCGCCGCGCGACACCACCACAACGACCATAGTACCACCACTAACAGACGACATACCTCTGTAGAACACGCTCTCCCCCTACTAACTGCGGATGGGGGAGACCAGAGATCAACAACCCAAGCAAGACCGCAGGCAGCACACCACAGGCGAGGCGGGGAGGGGCCAAGCAAGAAGACCACAGGCCCCACCCCACAGCGTGGGGCGAGGGAGGCGACGAGGTCAACCAAGAACACCACCCACTTGACGCGGGGGGCAGCCTGCATCACATGTACATTTAATCACTTATATACATATATATATATATGTATATATATATATATGTATATATATATATATTTATATTTATTTATGAATACAACTATCACCCTTGCAGAAAGCTGGACCTTGGACCTTGCAATCCTTAACCATAGGCAGCGGATTTCCAGATCACTGCCCAAGGGATAACTCGCAGATTAACTAGGCTCATCTAGGAATCTAGGAGCCCATGCACCACTCCAATTTTGCCAGTTTCATCTCTGCAGTCCCGCCATTGACGAAGTTTTATCTTGCGCTCATGCTGCTATTTCGAACAGTCTTTACACTTGGCATTGCAGTATGAAGGTTATGTACAAGCGCCGCAGCAGCTGCGCTGAGTCAGTGTCAGCGTATCACAGGTATACGGCATGGATGTGGATGTAACCGCACCAGCGTTGGGGATCTGGCAGTGGCAATGCTCTCTCAAGGTGCCTTTCGCATGGGAGTCCTTGGCAGCAAGACAGGCAACACGGAGCAACCCCAACGTGCTTTACGACCCAGACATACTCCAGAAATCAAGCACATTGCATCGCGGTCGAAGCGCCGGAGGCCCATAGGGGGTAGCCCACCGTGCCTGGGCTGTCTCGGCGGTGGCCACCTCAAATGCAAATAGCTGCATGGGTTCAGCATCAGCCACATGTCCCTGACCTTTGCAACTCCCAGCATCCCAACTGCCAAGCGGCTTTGAATTCCACGGGTGTTCATAACCTCAGCTGTCACTTCGCTTGCGTCTACGGGGGATCAACGACACAAGTCCGAACAGTTCAGGAGGTGAGAGTGATAGATCGCCGTCTCCACCAGTACGGAGGACCACTGCGACTGTCGGCCATGCGAACAGGATGTTCTCGCTAAGAACAAGCACAGGCATCTAGCGAGTTGCGGCTGCAATACAACGAAACACCCAGCGGAGCCATGCAACGCTTACCCATGTATTGGACACGATGCATTGTCGTAGTTTCGACATGGAAGGGAAGGTCTTGCCATTGCGACGAGGAAAGCAAAACGCTGCATGCAAGGCCAAGAAGCCCAGTGCATCCATGCACCCCATGGGTAGGTCGATGTTGCCTAAGTTGACTGTTAATCAGGGAAATTACAAACACAAACGCAAAGCTGAACCAGAACAGTCTCAACAGTTCCTCAGAGTTTCGTCTAATGCGTCTTTGCACCGATGCAGCTTCTTGTCTCAAACAGCAAAGCCGATCAAAACAGTATGTCTACTTGTTCCGAATCCATCCCCAGCTGCATATCACAGGGATATGGAGTTCGTGTACTGGAAACGGCCGGATAGCATTTACCCTAATCAAACCGAAACCCCCAACCTGGGCATTAAGATTCCTATCTCCTGTTCTTTGACGGCAATGAGGCGAAGCTCTGAAATCGGGCTGACTGGCACTCTTTCGTCCAGGCGTCCATTGCCCGTCCACTTGGCCTTCACAGCCTGGAAATCAGGAATGGATCGGTGGACGTAGGTTTCGTCCCATCCTGGGTTGGACCTCAGCAGCACATACCTTGGCGACAACGCTTGGGATCTTGATTGCTTGGCAGATCAATATCGTACAGTTTAGCCGACAACGAACGATATAATCCCGAGCTGACTTTGAAAGCATTGCAGCGCTCAGAAGGACATTTGACATACAGGCCGTTGAACATCTCGGGTTTGCATGCTTCCTGTTCGGTGCCCTGCAGAACTAATAATCCTGAAACGGCGGGTCACCCGTTGTCTCCAAGCCATTGCTGGAGGTCCGGCTTTGGCCTCTCCACGTTCAGCACGCTGAATGTGTAGGTGTCCCTGCGTTGATCGTTCGGGTGTGGGGCTGGGGGGCCATGGAGCTTCGGGCTTTGTATGTGATACGTCTATCTACATAATATGTGTTTGTGTGCATATACATATATACTCTGTTTGTGAATATCTATATACACACATACACATATGTAGATAAACAAAAATGCGTGTATGATACCTGTATTCATATCTGCATCTACAAACGTTTCTACTTGCTTGCAGAGCTCTTCGTCGAGATGCCAGATGTTGGGATCGAAGCAGGCATGGCTGTGCTTATACATCTCCGACAGGTGCAACGAGTAGAAGCTCTGACCGACGCCGCCAGGACAAATCCCCATGAAGCATCTATCGACATTGTAACTGTGTTTCGCGAGCGAGGAGCGTATGTATGTATGTATGTGCATATCTACATATATATATACATATATGTATGTATATACACCAACGCATGACCTGCATAGGCATATGGAAGGCGTGTACATGTATACTACGTACAGATGGTTGATGATATGTATAAAGGACTTAGGGGACCGGGGCTTTAGGGCGTAGCAACTGTTCCCCAGGCTCAGCTAGTGATTTCAGAAGCTGGCAGGCAACAGTACCAGAAGCAAAAAGATGAACACATATCCTTATGAGACAACACAACGGAGCAATCTAACAGTCACATGACCTGATGCTAGAGCGTTGAAAACCAGGTTGCCTACTGGCGTGACCAAGTATTATAGACACTCAGAACACAATGGAACTCCCAGGCGAGTTGATGGAAAGCCCCGCAGCTACAACGAAACCAGAAATCGCAGAACCTCCATAATTGGAAGCCGTGGATCCAAGGAAAGTTCTTCATAACGAGGCTTTCGGCACCCTCTACATCCAGGGACAAGAAGTCGATCTGGCTAGGTGCACCGAATTGCCTGCAGAGGTGCGCAGAAAAGGGAGAGGTTAAGGTAAAGTTACTGAAGCTGGGCAAGAGGATCATGTCTCGTTAGCCGCGGGATCTTAGAGCTCCAAGCTCTCTCAACATGCCTCAAGACGCTCTCCAGCGACGTCGTCGTGTAGGAGATGGCGTGGTAGTTCTTAATAACATTCCCTTTTTTGGGTTTTGCATCAAAGTCTTCGCCTCAGATCAGCTTTAACTCTTCAATCTGGCACCAGGGTGAGCTTGATCAAGAAGCCTCCATCGTTGCGCGATACAGCAGTGCTGCAATTACAAACTGGTTGTGCGTACCATTGCCTTCTTCCATAGGAGATGTACGAATATCCTACATCCGTATGCATCTATGCGTGAGGGTGTTGTATGTAGGCACACATGCATGCACGGATGCATGGATGAGGATGACGATGCATGTCTGTCTGTCTGTCTGCCTGCCTGCCTGTCTATGTCTGTGTGCTTCTGGCTACATCCGTATACATGTGTGCGTGTGCCTGCGCTTGGTCTATCTGGCCATCTGTCGATCTGTCTATCTAGCACGTGAATTAGCCTATTATGAGCTATCTATCCATCCATTTGTCTGTCTATCTATGTACGGATGGATAGATGGATGGATGGACGAATGGATGGACGCATGCATGCATGTGATTCAGAGAGGGAGAGAGCGAGAAAGAGAGCGACAGAGAGAGAGAGAGAGAGAGAGAGTGTGTGTGTGGGTGCCTGTGCGCGTGCGTGCGTGCGCGCGCGTGCGCATTTGCATGTGATGTACGGCGATGTAAACTAGCTGCATGCAGACATGCGTGACATACATACATGCATACATACAAACAAACATAAAAACACATACGTATATATATATATATAAACACTGACTGTATGGTTCATGTAGATGGGTCGTCAAAGAGACAAACAGACATGCAGCAGTCCAAACGGGCTTCTGTATACATGTACATGCTACGGTATACCCTCACCACATCACATTCCCTTGAATGCCATGACACCCACAATGCCAGATGTCTCATCGTGGAGCTGGAAGGTGACCTTCCTTGGTCGTATGTCCCTTTCCCGGGTTCTCACCACACTGTCAGAAACCCGAACAGACGGAGCTCTCATGCCTAAAAGGCAACATGTGCTGAAAAGGCTTGTCGATACTTCACGTCCACCAGGTGGAAGGCAGGAAGTGCATGCAACAAGACTGTGACAGCAGGGTCTCAACGCTTCTGCGAAACCACCCGGATCACTTGCATGGCTCTACAATAGCGGCCTTAATACTTACTGGTAGTTGTTTAGGCCCCTATGCGACTTCCTCAACGTCAGAGGCTAGCCGCTCGTCCTCAGCACCAACCGGTCCCAGGAAGAGGCTGGCATTCCGATGCAGCAGGCCCCACCAATAAATCGGGTTGGCCTGAAGGCAGCGAGGGCATGCAATTGACTCTGCCAAGTCTGGGAGGCGCCTCTGAAACTGGCCTGTAACTACAGATTCAGATACACGTCTCCCTCGGCTTGAAACGAAATCTGACATTTCTACTGCCCTCTTCCGAAGACTTGCCTCGATCAGAATGCCGTTCCAGCCGAAGTCGCGCTCCTTCGAAAGGCCCGCGTCTTGAATCCCACGAAAGTACATGCTTTAGCAAGTTTGGACGAATTTGTTGTTGCCACATTCCGGGCCGCAGGGATGCAAACTTGGAGCGCAATGCCAAGTTGGTGGAAAGCATCTGACCTGTTGCTTAAAGCCTGCAGCACCTGAAAACGCAAGCCGCACCAGGGTCAGCGTGTTCGAGTTCTCGATAGCAATGTTTGCCGCGAGGTCCACGAAGAAGCCGTTCCTGCTTTGCAGAGGGAATCTGTTGCCTCGGTGCTGCTGCTGCTCCTCCTGCTCCTGCACTTCCGCCTCACCCACCCCTCCGCGTACTCCCATCTCCTGATCCCACCAATTATTTCTACACGACTACTGCAAGGAGTGCTACTCCTACTCGTACTCACAACCACTCCTACGTCTCCCCCTCTTCTTCTTCCCCTCCTACTACTACCACTACTACTACCATTACGACTACTGCTACTACTACTACCACCACTAGTACCACTACCACTACCACTACCACTACCACTACCACTACTACTACTACTACTACTACTACTACTACTACTACTACTACTACTACTACTACTACTACTACTACTCCCGCTACGACTGCGACTGCTACTGCGACTACTATTGCTATTAATACTGCTACTGCCATTGCCGGTGCCGCTTCTGCTGCACTACCTATAATAATGATAGTAATACTATTATTACTATCATTACTACTACTACTACTACTACTACTACTACTACTACTACTATTACTACTACTACTACTACTACTACTACTACTACTACTACTACTACCACTACTACTACTACCACTACTACTACTACTACTACTACTACTACTACTACTACTACTACTACTACTACTACTACTACTACTACTACTACTACTACTACTACTACTACTACTACTACTATTACTATTACTACTACTCCCGGCGTTACATTACTACCACTACCACGACTACTGCTACTGCTACTGCTACTACTACTAGTACTAGTCCACTAGTACTGCTCGTACTACCATTACTGCCAGAACCGCTACTATGTACCACTTACCACTTACTACTTTTGCTTTCTGCAGAACAAGTGCTTGCTTTCGTCATCACGCTCTCCCACCATTCTCGTTTGGTTGTAATGACAGGAGTTATCATGAACACACGTGCCAATGCCATCATGAACATTCTGTTTTCTCTCAGCACGGTGATTTCTCGACGATGACACGTCTCTCAATGGCATGCATCCCTGGCCGATGGTCCTCTTGCAGTTCAGGTAGGAAGCCACGTGAAACTCCTGATCTGGGTCAGCATAATCTCAAGTTTATGCACAATCCCACTGACCAAACAATCGCCAAGTGTGCAAGTGCAGGTACCCCTCCCTCCACTGCTTAAAAAGAGACGCCTGAGACCACTGGCTGTGCACGTCTCCCGGCTTACCAAGCTGGTTGAAGCCTTGGAAATGGTTTACAGGGAGCCTGGGGGTGAGAGCTGGAATGTAGGCTGAGAGCAGATCAACATGTGCATGCCATTTTCGAACAGACGGAGGTGTCCTTCCCTTCCATCCTCCGAAATACATGGATCAAGCCCGACAGCAATGTTAGATGCCGGCCGAATAGCGTGTCCACTCCCCAACATTCATGGTCTGAAACCTCGAATCGATTCTGAAATGCAGGGTGCCGGAGTGAATGAGTGCTAGTTCGCAACAAGGACCATCACTCAGCAGCCCACGTGCCAGTGAAACCCCCGATTGTGGTGCACCAGACTGTGGCGATGTTACGAATGCTGCCACATGCCACCAGCCCCTTGGACTTGAAGCAAAGGAGACACACCATCTGTCATGCAAGAGAAGTGCTTCTCTCCAAACATCTGGAGCTGAGGGAAGACCGTCTGCATGTCCTTGCACCACAGAAGCGATTGGTTGAAGGGCTCCAGTCGCAAACCATGATGCTTCTGCACGATTGAAACCGAAGCTTATGCAGTGATGGATGTGGATCCTTTCGCCACGCATCGCAGTGCAGCTGTACCTCTGAAGACAAAGGCTACCGAACTTACCTTCTCTGTGCCACCGAAGAGTCGTAAAAGGCCACCTGTCGGAACTTGCCCGAGAGCCGATTGGCAGCACCAGGGCAGGGAGGAGGCTCCTGAAAGTCTCCACCCGTTCGCCCCAAAGGCATGTGTTATTGCAGGCACCTGCACAAAGGTGGCTCAGAGTCCTCCAGCCCTCAGCTAGACACCCTGCCCGACAATCCGACATGCAGTTTAGCATCCCTTGCCGCCCGCTCCTGGCACTTGGGGCAAACACACTGCCCGCCCGTGGCCACAGCCGGCACGGATGCATTGTAAACAGGCCTCTCCAAAAACTTGGAGCGTTATCGGATGCTTGCGGCTGTACAAATACAACCATTCAGAAATACGGTGGGGTTGAGAAGACTTTGAAAAAGTTCACCAGTTTGACTCCCCGTCTTGCGTATACTGCTCACGAGTGGCAGGAGGGTGGGCGGGGGGCGCGCCTCGTGCTCAGACCCCGACCTGCCTGATGTGGAGGGGACTTAGCTTTGGCGAGCAGTTCTCCCAGGATTCCCGTTTCGAAACGCACCATGAGGAGGATCGTAATGTGACAATGACGGTGCACAAGGTGGATACGGTGGCGATGGTGAGGGTAAGGACGAGAAGATGAATGTGGACTGCTTTCGGGATGCCGTCACTGGCAGTGGCTTCTTCTATCTACTGCAACACAGTAGGACGACAGTTATGACAATGCTATGACTCCCATGAATACTGTCGCATGCCTCCGCGTGCAAGTATCAGTCGTCTTAATCCTGGCAAAATCCTGACAAGACCCATATCGGTGAGCACCTGTGTCATTGTCGGGATGAGTGCTGTGCTGATTGGCCATGTCTGGGAGGCGGTCTTTCTATTGGGTTTTTAGCTCTTCTTTCGCTTTTCTTAGTCTGAGTGTCTGCCTGCCGTCGTCTTCCTTTGGCTCAGTAACTTTAACCTAGGCACCACTTGTGAGTTTTTTGAGGAGTGGCCGCCTGGTCAGTCCCCGATCGGCTGTACGGGCAGGCGAGTCACGTTGGCCTTGTTCCCTTCCCTACTTTCGCACGGTGCATTTTCTACACAGGCCCTTTAGAATCCTGGTGGCTGTAAAACATCTGAAATCTACAGCATCTGTTACATGCCCAGTTGGATGACACGGAAACTGTTTTGGAAAGACCATCCGATCCGAAGCCAAGTTAAAGGAAACAGAACACCTGAATGGCAAGTAGTGATTGTGATGAACTGAACTCAGAACCCTAAACCCTAAACGAACGCCAAAGTTAAGCAGAGACAGTGCGGATCGCAACCTGAATGCTCAATGCTCGCTACAGGTACGTTGTTTCGTCCAAGCCTCGATCCACCTGCACAAATGTGTCGGACAGATCCCGATGTTAGAAGCGCAGGTGCCACTTAAACCGTCTAAGACCCATCATCATCGTCATCATCATCGTCATCATCGTCAAAACGAACATGCAAAACACTACTTATCATGTTACCTGTTACTAACCATCATCGCTGGGTTAAGCATCACTGGAAGGTGGGGCCATGACGGACACACGGAAGAGGAAGTGTGGCCTTGAGATCCATGGCGAAAGTCGCCCTTGCCCGAGAAGGAAAACGTTCAGGCCCACAGACAGCGAAAGCAGCACGGCCACCGCGGCTTGTCTGACCATGGCGTATGGCCATGTCAGACCAAAAGGGTGCCTAGTGTAGGGTTTCGGAATGGTGGCTCTGGGATAAAGTTGGAACCCTTGCGGGGTCAGCTACAATGCTCAGCTAGACACGACTAGACTAGAAATCGCTGCACGGTGGTGGGAGGTTGTTCTAAATGGCTCTCCGTGCGAATCTTGCACATTGCTAAACTGGCATCTTGCATAGAGCCAAGTCCTTGCAACGGCCGCCGCCTGTGCTAGCATCTGAGAATGTGTAAGGCGAATAAAACAAACTCACACAGGAAACGAACCGGAGCCCGGTCCGGGAGCACTTGGCACTTGCCCACTTCACACGATGCAGTCACAAGAAGGGCTCTCATGGCGTAACTTCTTGTTGCTTCGTGTCAAGAGCAACCTTGCCGCAGAACGGACCACAGGCTGAATCAACCAAACTGGCTGGAGGCAAGTAACCATCCAAGAAGTCTTGGCAACAGCGAGCTCAGGCAGGCGGTATGAAGGTCTGAAGCAATAGAATCGTTGGTATGCGGCCGTGTGCGCGAAGTGTGAACCTGTTCCGCAACAGAGAGTAACAAAATAATGCTTGCTCCTTTCAACCTATGCCTATGCCGACAGTGGCCACACGTACTCGTCCAAGACACACAGCCACGAGTATCGACGGAAGCGAAGCCAAAGGATCAATAAGAAGACTGCTTTGGCCTTCAGGCCATAAAACAATTATTATACTGAATTACACTGAAAGGGCGCAACACAAAACACACCCAAGACTGTCAGATTCTAGATTTATTGTGGTATCGCGGCCTTGGGTTGCGCAGCATTGACACAGCCTACCCGACCAGTTACACACAAGCTGGTTTCCTTAGCCAAAGATCTTCACCAATGCCTGGACAGCCCAGAGTATCAGTGTCGTCTACCATTCAGTATGTTGCCATCACGAGTATCTACTCACGGCCGGCGCACCGTCTCTTTTGATGCGAAAGCGATCAGGAGCGGCAGCACGTGGCTCAAAGCTCAGGCTCGCTGTCCATGTCCATCTAGGCATGCACAAGCAAACTGTCTGGCAAAACTGGGCACTGCGAACCCAGCGGCGTGCTGCTTGCAAATGCTCGCTAGCTAGCCTCCGGAAACCTTGAACTCTGAAACATAGCTACAGGTGGGAAAACCGTGTCGCTAAAGGCACGTGCGCTGAAGATACATGTGTAGAGTAGTTCCATTTGTCAGCATCCCTTCTTGAAACCCATACCATAATAAGCCATATTCAGCGAACTAGAAAGCCAAGTAAAAGACTCTACATTCCTCATGCACATCCTTCCCATCATTTCCCATCTGTCCACCAGTTATTGTTTACGTCGTCGCATTCAGTTTCGGGGCCAAACGGCATGAATTATGTACTGGTACTTTAGGGCCGGGCGGGACAAAGGCGGGTTTGGCACCAAACCCAACTCAAATTGAACAGACGAGCTCTCTGACTTCGTGGAATGGAAACATGTTGGGTACTGACTGCAACCTTCAAAAGCAAGCACCATGCCGTTGCTATCACGGCATAGAATCCGGTACAGTATAATGCGGTATACTGTGTGTGTGTGTGTGTGTGCGTGTGATTAAGCTTGTCCTGAACCCCAAAAGCCCTGACTCACGGTCTGGACAGGCGGCTTCGTGGAAGCGGTCCCAAGCTGCTGCAGCGGCTCCCGTGCTACTCCTCAGGCTTGCTTTGTACGATCTGGGTTTGGGGCCGGGGTGTAGGATCTGGCGCTTTGGTTGAGGTGTTCGTAACTCCTGGGATATCTTGAAGTAAGGTTCCTGAGCTTTATGTGCGGTGCTTTCTGACAGATCTGAGACATGTACTACGTACGAGCTGCACGAACTGCACGTACTGTCTAGATTCCAGGGCTGAGCCTGGAGCCTACTGGCCGAATACCTCTTCGATTTCTTGGTGTTGGACACGGGTAAAGGCCGCCAAAGTGCAGCAGCTAATCGATTGACTACTCCGGAATGGCAGGAGGAGCCTTTGGTTTCAGGGCCCAGGGTACGTGAGGCTGTGGATCGTTTCACGTTGCCGTTGGGCTAGTCAAAACTATGCTGTGGAGTTGGATGTGACATGACCCACAGATATTGACACACAACCGCTGACAGAACGATAGGCCTCGATTGGAATCCTACATCCTCAGTTCCTTTACTCCAAGACTCTAACTGAAACCCTAAACCCATAGCCTGAAGCCTCGTTGGTGGAAGTGTTGCTGAGACCGGGACTTGGAGGTTTGGCGGCTGCTGACGTATCTGTCGCTCCTTCTCTTCGGAATTTTGAGCTGAGTCCCCCGTTCAGGGCCTTGGGACTTCTTTGGGGAAGGTTTAGGGGTTTAGGGTGGACGGTTTGGGGCTTGGAGTTTTAGCGCCAAGGGTTTTAGGTTTAAGAGGGTGTATAGGATACTGTCTTGTTTTTAGCCCCTTTTGGATGTAGGATCTGAGGGCTTATGATTATGGGACTGGGTGAGAAATGAAAGGCTTGGCATCCAGTGCATTCACCATGGCAAAGCTGTGCAATCGCGAGAGTGCACTCGAAGGCTTTGGCTAAGGGGCTGCTTTCCTGTTCAGAATCAGAAGAGCTTCTCGCAATAATACTGACAAGAAGACCACGAAACAAAGCGAAATCATTATGGCAGGACCACTATCAACAAAAAGATTGGATCGTGTCTTCGTCATGATGGGCCTCGAGCCCTTCCAGGAGACAAAAAACCTCCACCGAAGCCCAGAGGGAGAAGGCAACCGGGGAGGACGTCAACTCAGAAGAGCCCACTGGCGGTGCGGTTCTTGACTTGTAGAACAGGAAGCCGCCATCATGAGCATCGTTGAACTGATTTTCACGTTGAAAACAACTCTAAGGCTAAGTCTACGAATCCCAAACCTACAATTCATCGGTATCGCCGGGCTGGGGCAAGAGCACATCCAACATTGCGGCCGGAGGCTGAATCCTCAGTGACGTTTCGGGTGTAGGGGTTGGGGTTTGGCGGCTTAGACTTTTACTGTTTAGGGTTTTCGTTTGTTTAGGTTTAGGTTTTGTTTTTATGGTTTTCGGGCTTTAGCGTTGTAGGGTTAGTTGTAGGGGTTTCAGGCTTAGGGTTTGAGGGTCTGCAGGGAGCTAACGTGGTTAAAGGTTTAAGCTTTAGTTTTTACAGGCCTGGCCGAAAGGTTTTTGATTTCTCTGTTGGCACTCTTGCTGCCACCGTATCCCTCCTCCAGCCATGAACTGAGCCTACAACCCTACACCCCCTAAACCCAGAATACGCCTAAACACTAAACCGCCTCCCAAAACAACGCTCTCGAACAGCTGAACCCCTTAACGAGGCCGGGACTGCGATTCAAACTGCACCGCAATCTGTGGCAAGGGCCGAGGGGAGTGGCCAGTGCGGCCTCCAAGCAGAGGAAGGAGGCCCCTTTTTGAGGACCCTTGTCTTTGGGGTCGAGGTCTTAAAGGGGTTTAAGTTTAAAAGGATTGTTACAAGTTATAAGTGATAAGTCTAATTAAAGGATTCATCCATGGCCAAGGAGACGTCATGGGTCTTGTAAGCTGTGTCAAGTAAGTAGGGGGCTGAACATTAAGGGCTCGCTCGTGATCTGAAACTCCCAATCGCCTCGGTCGCCATCGATGCACCGGCCTCCGCTCGACGTGGCGGGTTGAGGATTTAGGTTTTAGGCCTTCGGATCTGTAAGGTTCATTGCAACGTAGGAGCTCTTCATTCTGATGAGGCAGGCAACCTTCTGCGCACTGTCGTGCAAAGACCTACTCCTAGTGGTTTTCTCCGGCTCCCGTGTTGGCCAAAAGCAACTTCTGCGATGATGCTTATTGCATAGTTCATGTCTGCGTTCAAGATAAATGTACCTGCTGCATCGATGTTTACAGCAGTGAGCCGACTTCTGCAACAAGTTCACGCCGCGGCTTCCGCACCAAGGTTCATGACACGAGTGCGGTCTGGACTCGAGCTGGCAAGTTCGGGGGCTTTGAATAGGAAACTTCCTTGCTGCAGCCTCCCAACACCGCAAAAGCCGGATCAACACACAGATTCTTGCAGCCGGATCGCGCCATTCGTGCAGCATGCTGGCCAAGAAGTCCTGGAAAGCGCTACCCAAACACAACGAAAGCTTCGATTTTAGGCAGCACTCAAAAGTCACGAGACAACCTATAGATAAATTCTTTCGTGTTTGGGTCAGTCACAGCGACGATTACACCTGCAGTACTCCTTCTGGCAGGGGCACGGCATTTGCTACGCCGTTCCCTGCAAGCTGAACTCAAGAGAAGAGGTCCTGGAGACGCTGGCTGAGGAGGCTGGCGAAGGCCTCTCTGTCTTTCGTTCTTGCGGACTAGGTTTTCGCGTCATTTTGCTCCCAGCTTTGGGTCGCCTGCGCCCCTTGGTATCGGGAAAGGGAGCGAGGGGAGTTCTCAAGCTTTCTTTCCTCACGAACGCATGCAGTTCTCGGCTAATTGGATACATTCTCCGTCTTGCGTTTGCGCAGAATAATTGAAGAACGTGCTCCTCGAAGCTTTAAATTGGAGGCAACTGACTGTTGGGGCTCTCCGCCCTTTAACTCACAGCGAAGTGTGCGCTCTGCGCCTTGGACAGCGCAGCCTCCCGCCGCTCGAAGAAGCGAAGGAGGGCGAGCTGCTCCACTTCCGCACCTCAGAAAGCAGGGCTATGACTCTATGACGACGGTCCCGTGCTTTTGCTCCGATGATTCTTCCGTGCTTATACTAGTACTGCACGAGCCATCACTGAAGCCGTCCCGCATCGCCGCAGGTCGGTCCATGCTGAGCCAAGAGGCAGCTCGAGTCAATCGACGCAAGCTGCATGGCAGCCTCCGATAGTAACGAAGCACCGGACACGGGACTCGTGCCGGATGTCATAAGGTCTACCGCACTATGCCACTACGCATGCATGTGGTCGGCTGTCGACGTGTGTTGATGGGTTTCGAGGCGCTGCGGCAGTGCAGAAGCATCTCTGGCGGCCTCTTTTTCCTCGTGCTGCTTGAGCCGCTTCTCCAGCCTGAGCTTGGGACACGCCCCATACGGTGAACGCCCTCAGCCATGCACCTGAACTGTAGCAGAAGCCCAGCCACTCTGCGATCTTCGAGACGAGCTCAGCCGCTGGTGCCGCTGGTGGGCCCGCGTTTTGCTCTCCTGTCGCACGCTCTCTTAAGAGAGGGCATTGGATCTCGGCTCAATGCGGAGCAGAACGCACCGTCACCCCAAGCAGCAGAACCCGCACCGCCCACACGAACAAGCAACCTTCTCTAAACCTATCTCACGTCTCGAGAGATGTTGCTTGCCTCGGTCACGATCGATGCAGTGGCCTCGATGTCACTACAGCGCGTGGTCCATGCCGTCAAATTTGGACTCGCATGTTATGGTCGATTTATGTGCTTTCCGCGACAACACCTGTTCGGCCAAAACATGTAGTCCGGTCCCACGACCGCAAGACCCTGATCAACATGCCCGTTCTTGCAGCCAATGTACGCCATTCCCGCAAGATGCCAGCCAAGAAGTCCTGCAAGCCGCACCCCGAGCTGCTTCTGGATTCAGAAGTCTCGAAGCTGTGGCTGTAGCTGCGGGAACTCGTGAGACGGGTTCTTACACCCTTCAAGCCGAAAGCAACGGAGCTCCTGCACACGCTGGCTGAGACTCGTGGCGAAGGCCTCCCGCGTCATGCTCACGTTTTTGCAGCATCAGCAGACTGCATGCTTCCGGCCTTGGACAACGCAGCCTCCCTCCGCTCGAAGAAGCGGAGCAGGGCGAGCTGTTCCACTTCCGCACCTCAACAATGGCACAATGGGCCAGGTCTATGCGGCAGGTGGGTGCGGACAAGCCCTCACTGACACCGTCCACACACACACACACACACAACACCTCCAGCACCCTTCTTCTCTCCTGCAACCTCGAATCTATTGAAAGGAACTCTCTTTTGGACGAGAAGCAGCTGGAGTCTGCCGCAGCGCGCCGCACGGCAGCCTGTCGCAGCAGGTTGTCGCTGAAAGTCCCCTCAACCTCACGCGACCGTACCCGACCATCATATCTTACAAGTGAAATCCACATGCACGCTTGCCGACCTCTATCTCCTTCTGCTCCTTCAGCTGCTTCTCGAGCCTGGGCGCTTAGTTGGACGAGGCTTTTACATTAGAGCATCACTCACCCGTCAACTCTCCCAGACTTGCGGAGTCACAAACCATTGCACCTGAACCGCAGCGACATGCATTCTGATATTACTCACAAAGCCCAGCCACTCTGCGATCTTCGAGACGAGCTCAGCCGCTGGTGCCGCTGGTGGGCCCGCGTTTTGCTCTCCTGCCGCACGCTCTCTTAAGAGAGGGCATTGGATCTCGGCTCAATGCGGAGCAGAACGCACCGTCACCCCAAGCAGCAGACCCCGCACCGCCCACACAAACAAGCAACCTTCTCTAAACCTTTCTCACGTCTCGAGAGACGTTGCTTGCCTCGGTCACGATCGATGCAGTGGCCTCGATGTCACTACAGCGCGTGGTGTTCATCTTCGTGGTCCATGCCGTCAAATTTGGACTCGCATGTTATATGGTCGATTTATGTGCTTTCCGCGTCAACACCTGTTCGACCAAAACATGTAGTCCGGTCCCACGACCGCAAGACCCTGATCAACATGCCCGTTCTTGCAGCCAATGCACGCCATTCCCGCAGGATGCCAGCCAAGAAGTCCTGCAAGCCGCACCCCGAGCTGCTTCTGGATTCAGAAGTCTCGAAGCTGTGGCTGTAGCTGCGGGAACTCGTGAGACGGGTTCTTACACCCTTCAAGCCGAAATCAACGGAGCTCCTGCACACGCTGGCTGAGACTCGTGGCGAAGGCCTCCCGCGTCATGCTCACGTTTTTGCAGCATCAGCAGACTGCATGCTTCCGGCCTTGGACAACGCAGCCTCCCTCCGCTCGAAGAAGCGGAGCAGGGCGAGCTGTTCCACTTCCGCACCTCAACAATGGCACAATGGGCCAGGTCTATGCGGCAGGTGGGTGCGGACAAGCCCTCACTGACACCGTCCACACACACACACAACGCCTCCAACACCCTTCTTCTCTCCTGCAACCTCGAATCTATTGAACGGAACTATCTTTTGGACGAGAGGCAGCTGGAGTCTGCCGCAGCGCGCCGCACGGCAGCCTGTCGCAGCAGGTTGTCGCTGAAAGTCCCCTCAACCCACGCGACCGTACCCGACCATCATATCTTACAACTGAAATCCACACGCTCGCTTGCCGACCTCTATCTCCTTCTGCTCCTTCAGCTGCTTCTCGAGCCTGGGCGCTTAGTTGGACGAGGCTTTTTACATTAGAGCATCACTCACCCGTCAACTCTCCCAGACTTGCGGAGTCACAAACCATTGCACCTGCATTCTGATATTACTCACAAAGCCCAGCCACTCTGCGATCTTCGAGACGAGCTCAGCCGCTGGTGCCGCTGGTGGGCCCGCGTTTTGCTGTCCTGTCGCACGCTCTCTTAAGAGAGGGCATTGGATCTCGGCTCAATGCGGAGCAGAACGCACCGTCACCCCAAGCAGCAGAACCCGCACCGCCCACACGAACAAGCAACCTTCTCTAAACCTATCTCACGTCTCGAGAGATGTTGCTTGCCTCGGTCACGATCGATGCAGTGGCCTCGATGTCACTACAGCGCGTGGTCCATGCCGTCAAATTTGGACTCGCATGTTATGGTCGATTTATGTGCTTTCCGCGACAACACCTGTTCGGCCAAAACATGTAGTCCGGTCCCACGACCGCAAGACCCTGATCAACATGCCCGTTCTTGCAGCCAATGTACGCCATTCCCGCAAGATGCCAGCCAAGAAGTCCTGCAAGCCGCACCCCGAGCTGCTTCTGGATTCAGAAGTCTCGAAGCTGTGGCTGTAGCTGCGGGAACTCGTGAGACGGGTTCTTACACCCTTCAAGCCGAAATCAACGGAGCTCCTGCACACGCTGGCTGAGACTCGTGGCGAAGGCCTCCCGCGTCATGCTCACGTTTTTGCAGCATCAGCAGACTGCATGCTTCCGGCCTTGGACAACGCAGCCTCCCTCCGCTCGAAGAAGCGGAGCAGGGCGAGCTGTTCCACTTCCGCACCTCAACAATGGCACAATGGGCCAGGTCTATGCGGCAGGTGGGTGCGGACAAGCCCTCACTGACACCGTCCACACACACACACACACACACACACACACAACGCCTCCAGCACCCTTCTTCTCTCCTGCAACCTCGAATCTACTGAACGGAACTATCTTTTGGACGAGAGGCAGCTGGAGTCTGCCGCAGCGCGCCGCACGGCAGCCTGTCGCAGCAAGTTGTCGTTGAAAGTCCCCTCAACCTCACGCGACCGTACCCGACCATCATATCTACAACTGAAATCCACACGCTCGCTTGCCGACCTCTATCTCCTTCTGCTCCTTCAGCTGCTTCTCGAGCCTGGGCGCTTAGTTGGACTAGGCTTTTTACATTAGAGCATCACTCACCCGTCAACTCTCCCAGACTTGCGGAGTCACAAACCATTGCACCTGAACCGCAGCGACATGCATTCTGATATTACTCACAAAGCCCAGCCACTCTGCGATCTTCGAGACGAGCTCAGCCGCTGGTGCCGCTGGTGGGCCCGCGTTTTGCTCTCCTGTCGCACGCTCTCTTAAGAGAGGGCATTGGATCTCGGCTCAATGCGGAGCAGAACGCACCGTCACCCCAAGCAGCAGAACCCGCACCGCCCACACAAACAAGCAACCTTCTCTAAACCTATCTCACGTCTCGAGAGATGTTGCTTGCCTCGGTCACGATCGATGCAGTGGCCTCGATGTCACTACAGCGCGTGGTCCATGCCGTCAAATTTGGACTCGCATGTTATGGTCGATTTATGTGCTTTCCGCGTCAACACCTGTTCGGCCAAAACATGTAGTCCGGTCCCACGACCGCAAGACCCTGATCAACATGCCCGTTCTTGCAGCCAATGCACGCCATTCCCGCAGGATGCCAGCCAAGAAGTCCTGCAAGCCGCACCCCGAGCTGCTTCTGGATTCAGAAGTCTCGAAGCTGTGGCTGTAGCTGCGGGAACTCGTGAGACGGGTTCTTACACCCTTCAAGCCGAAATCAACGGAGCTCCTGCACACGCTGGCTGAGACTCGTGGCGAAGGCCTCCCGCGTCATGCTCACGTTTTTGCAGCATCAGCAGACTGCATGCTTCCGGCCTTGGACAACGCAGCCTCCCTCCGCTCGAAGAAGCGGAGCAGGGCGAGCTGTTCCACTTCCGCACCTCAACAATGGCACAATGGGCCAGGTCTATGCGGCAGGTGGGTGCGGACAAGCCCTCACTGACACCGTCCACACACACACACACACACACAACACCTCCAGCACCCTTCTTCTCTCCTGCAACCTCGAATCTACTGAACGGAACTGTCTTTTGGACGAGAGGCAGCTGGAGTCTGCCGCAGCGCGCCGCACGGCAGCCTGTCGCAGCAGGTTGTCGCTGAAAGTCCCCTCAACCTCACGCGACCGTACCCGACCATCATATCTACAACTGAAATCCACACGCTCGCTTGCCGACCTCTATCTCCTTCTGCTCCTTCAGCTGCTTCTCGAGCCTCGGCGCTTAGTTGGACGAGGCTTTTTACATTAGAGCATCACTCACCCGTCAACTCTCCCAGACTTGCGGAGTCACAAACCATTGCACCTGAACCGCAGCGACATGCATTCTGATATTACTCACAAAGCCAAGCCACTCTGCGATCTTCGAGACAAGCTCAGCCGCTGGTGCCGCTGGTGGGCCCGCGTTTTGCTCTCCTGTCGGACGCTCTCTTAAGAGAGGGCATTGGATGTCTGCTGCTCGCAATGCAGAGAATTCAAGTCACGATGCAAGTCCAGCACTTCAGGAAAGCCGTTCCCTGATCCTGTGATACATACTGCTTACCATTATGCATGGTACAGTGGTGTATCACCAGACATGTAGGACGCTTGCTAGCAATGGCTCACGAGGAAGACCTGCCCTGAGTTGACAAGCCCTCAGCCTGCACACATCCAACTTTGCACTGCCTCGCGCCAGAACTAGACCTGCCGAAGATTATCCACATCCAAGCACAAAGAACCGTACTTCCTGCATTATCAGGGTCAGACGCGCAGTCTGGTACAGCATAGTGTAGCTGGGTCTAGCATAAACAGGTGCTGGTTTTGTATGCGTATACATATATACATATATATATATATATATATATGCATATGTATGCATACACAGAAAAAGATAGACGGTCAGATGCACAAATATAGAGATACAGTGTATGTACATCAGAAACTTCATCCACTGAGTCCTCCGATGGACAGGTCGTGGTGAGCAGCGCGAGCTGCCACGACCCAGGAGCCCCAAACACGCCTTCCATCGGACACGAGCTGTGTGTGTTCTCCCCGTCTTTCTGTCTCTCTGTCCCGCTCTCTCGCTGTTTCCGTCTCTGGCTCTGGCTTTGCCTCAAACTGTCCGACTGTGCGTCTCTGTCTGCCTGCTTGTTGCCTATTGTCCTGCTACCTGTAGAAACAGAAAAAACGGATGGCTGTGGGGCTTGGCGAGATAGGCACAATTCAACACAGCGCTCCGTTGCGGACCGGCTTTGCATGAAGCTGATGACGGACGGGGCTGAGGCAGCTTATGAAAAGGATTTACTGCGGAGGTTTGCCCATGGCTTCCAAACTCAGCGGATGTATGTACAATGCCAAACGACAGCCAGGAAAATTTCACATGCCGTTCAACGTGGAACAGCGGCTTGCTCCCTGTTTCTCAAATTCTTTAATCCCTTTCGAGCGGTTTGCTCGTTTCTCATATAGGCTAGTCCCTTTCGAGTGAGTTGCTCCGCTCCCTGTTTCTCAATTAGTTTGCTCCTTGTTTCTCTAACACTCTATAGTCCCTTTCGAGAACGTTTGCTCACTGTTTTTCAGTTGCTCCAACCTTTTTAGGGCGGTTTGCCTACTGTTTCTCAAACAGTCCAGTCCCTTTCGAGCGGTGTGCTGCTTGTTCTCAGATACTGTGGTCCCTTCTGGGCACTTTGTTCCCTGTTGCATGTTTCTCGCACAGTCTAGTCCTTCGAACGTTAGCGCCCTGTTTCTCGAATACTCCAGTCCCTTTCGGGCGGCTTGCTCCCTTTTTCAATCAGCCTAGTCCCTTTCGAGCGGTTTGCTCCCTGTTTCTCAATTACTGAAATCCCTTTCGGACGGTTTGCTTCCTGGTTCTCATATACTTTAGTCCCTTTCGAGCGGTTTGTTCCCTGTTTCCCGAAATCTCTGTTACCTTTGGAGCCGGTTGCTCTTGTTTCTCATTTACTCTGATCCGTTTCGAGCGTTTTGCTTCCTGCTTTCAAACACCTTTGTCCCTTCCGAGTGGTTTGCTCCGTGCTTCTTGAATCCGCCAGTTCTTAAATACTCCAGCCCTTTCCGAGCGATTTGTTTATCATTGATCCTTTGTTACTCAAATACTCCAGTCTTTTTCGTGCGGTTTGCACCTCTCGATGCTCTAGTCAAGTCCCTTTCGAGCGGTTTGGGCCTTGTTTCTCAAATACCCCAGTCTCTTTCGAGCGGTTTGCTCCTTTTTTCTCAACTACTCGAATCCCTTTCGGGCAGTCTGCTCCCTGTTTCTGTTAGGTAGTCTAGTCCCTCTGGAGCGGCTTGCTCACTGCTTCTCAACTACGCCAACCCCTTTCGAGCGGTGTACTGATTGTTTCTCCCATACTCGGTTTGCTCCCTTTTTTCGAACACTCTGCTCCCTTTCGAGCCGTCTGTTCTCTGTCTCTCCGCACCCTTCTCGCGACCTCGCACCCTGACGGCCCTGGCTAATCTTGCCCTGCCTGAAGATCTAGACTCGGGTCCAAACAGTACTGCCACTGTGGACTACAGTTCTTCGGACCTCTCTAGTACGGATGCAAAAGACGAAGGGAGGCTCGAGCCTGAGAAGTTGCTGCCGATGATGGGCCGCCTTCTGATGCCAGGCCTTGAAACAGCGCCTGAGCGCCTGGCAGCTTTTCAGCGAGCTTCGCTTCTCTTAGCCGCCCCGGAAAGGTCGGTATTACTAAAACCTTCCAGAAGCCCATGGAAGGTGGAAACGAACCTAATCTTGCGAGGTCTCCAAACTTGGGGACTTTCCGGCGTTTCCTGCCAGCTCCTCGTGAGCGGGTCCTAGTATTCTGGGTCTCTTCTTGGGGAGTTTCCGAAAATGTGGGAACCCCTATGCGAACCCAAAGTAATACGAGCCTCCATAAAGGACCTCAGCAAGGAATCCGGAGTTCAAGAATCGCCTTTGGTCTGCCCTTACTTTTCGCCTTCGGAAACTCTCAAGTATGTATTCCCGGCTGCTTTTGAGGCTCGGGAACGGTAGGTAGGCTGCTGGCCTAAGTAATTACACCACAAGTACCCCACCTATTGAGGTTGTCCTGCCTTTAACCGCAGCATAATCTCACGCAGATCTCACGCATGACCTGCTTGCTAAGTCCACTGGCTCTGGAAGCAGCAGCTACGATTTTCTGGGTGTCGATCTGGACAAGGATTTCGAGAAAGGGACAGGTGCTCGCGACTCTAAGAAGTCCAAGCGAAAAGTCTTCCAGCTGAAGTTCCTGAAGCTCCCGAAAAAAGTGCCAAAAAAACGAGCGCACGCGCGCCACATGAGCTGCTGCTGCACTCGCATCCGCCTGGCGACGTGAGGCTTCTGACAGGGCTTCCACACGAAACCGATCTGATCGACAAACTCGTGATGCCTCTAAGCCCTAAACCCTAAAAGGCCCTATACTATAGATTAAACGGTTGGTCACTTCCCAAAACCATTTTCGGCCTGGAGCTCGAACCGCGCTGTCGCCAAGGAGGCGGTCAGTGCCTCGACCTACACAGACAGCGCGGACAAGACCCAAAAAAAACTCCTAAGGTGACTCAGGGAGTCGATACCGCACCCCGTTTTGTTCAGGAAGGTACCTGAAATCATCTCAAGGATCGGGTATTGTTGATATAAGCGGCTCTCCTAAACTTGCCCCCAGCGTCCTTTTGACAGCACTTTGCACTCGTGCCCTCCCTGTACAGGCTGTGGAGAGCATCCCAGAAAGCCGGCAAAGAGTGTGCTTTGAACATTGATTGGGCCTTTCAGCTCTTCTGTAAACGAAGCTGTGGCTCTTGTTTCGGCCCCTTTGGAGCGCTTCTAAGCTGCCGGATGGATGCTGACCATCTCCGGCCCTACTTGATACTTCGGAGCTTCAAGGAGGTGCAGAGACGGACATCACATCATCACTTCCGTCGGTCTCAGATCTCGACGGCCACCTGGTGCTGTCTCCTCAGCGTTGCCAGCCGCTCACGCAACAAGATGGTGAAGCTTTCGCTGAGACCAACTTTCAACAACTAGTCAGCATGGGCCTTGAACCTTGACGGATAATCTCAAAACCATGTCAATGTGCAGCTCTGTATCCAAAGCGGATGCGATGCCCTCGAAATCTTCCGGTGTCTCATCGTAGACCTCCTGTGACGCGCTACCAGTTTGGGGGCTGCTGTTTGGCAAGTCAGGCAAACCGTTGGGGGGCAACAGACCCGGGCCCGCGCTGGACGAAACGTTCGGCCATGGAGAGGGGTATGGAGACTGGGGAGTCCTTCGCTACGGACCATCTATCCATGCATTCTCAACCACCGCCACCAGCAACATTGGCTTCTGCTGCTTCTTCTTCTTCTTCAGTCGTCTCTTCATCATGATGGTCGTGGCAGGAACAAGAGTCTTTCTACCAGAGCAAGCTTCATCTCAAGTCTTTCCGTCAGCCCGCAATGGACTCGCCTTGGCTTTCTTGGTCAGCCACTTCGCCATGGTCCCAGAGCCGAAACCGTAGCCGAAAGGCAGGGGCCGCAGGTCGCGAGTCTGTGCCTGCCGGGATTTGCGGGATCTCTGGTGTGAACTCTATCCGAAGCCCGCGGGCCTAAAGTCGCTCGCAAGGCTAGAGAAGCTGCTGCATGCGCCTTCGGCGGCGGTCCGAAGTCTGGGGGGTACTGTGGTCGGCCGGCAGAGATGTCCTGCGAAATCAGCACGAGAGATCTGGATGAGCCTAACACAAATTAATTGCTAAGTACATCAACTACTCAGTCAGGGTCACTCAGTACAAGAACACATGCTCAGAGCAACAAGTCTCTCAAGCACGGCTGGCTACGAGCCATCCTCTCGCCTGCAGACGTCCAGAGCTGTGCAAAGCGCTCCTCTTGCATGTTCTGGTAGATCCATGTCGACAAAGAGCTGGATCCGTGACCATAGCCCCCAGCCAACGGGCCATAGTCCATCCTTGTCTAGCAATCGTTGTTGAAAAGCTATGATTATGTACGAGCACTCATCAAACGCAGACCTCGGTCTTGCCGACTGGCCCCGAAACTCACCAACCCAGAAACCAACAGCGCCAGATTTCTTTCCGGGGCCGATGTCCCGGCTCCAGGAGATTTTGTCCAATTGACAAGCGCACTATGCATATCTGAACGGCCCAGATCTCCTACCAGCCGAGGCCCCTGCGTCATGATTTCAGGCGGGGACTCGGCACACGGAAGTGAAACTCTGGCGTCTCAGCAAGGGACTTAGGTTCAACTGAGCGAACGGGGATGCTAACCGGTCTCGCAAGCTTACGTGAAAGCTCCAGAGGACCATCGAACCAGGGGCAACGGATTGCTGGGAGCGCGGCTCCCCAAGAAGGTGGAAAAGCCGGCAGTGCGGCAGCTGTCACCGCAAGCATCGAAAGCCTGGAGCTCTGCGGGTATAGAATATGACACTGATACAACATAGTACGATTGCAAGTACAATTATAGGATATAACAGTATAAAGCAAATCCATCGCTAGGGTGCTTACCGCCACCTCGTTTTTCCTGGAGGCTCTACGCACACACCGGCCTCCAGCCATGACGATTGCTGTGCCGTTGCTTGCTTGGTTTGCTTGTAGTTTTCTCTACAGCAAGGGCATTCAGTCACATTCCTGAAGTCTTTCTGCTGCTTCTGGTTGTAAGGAGCATCCTTCGGAAGCCAAGTCTCTGCCCGTGCAAGTCTGCCGGCCCTGTTCGGCAGATTCCTGCCAGCTAAGCTACCACATTCCAAGCCATCCTGGACCGGGGCCCCGACTTGAAAAGAACTGCCATGGCTCTTTCGCTCGCTCTCCGTGTCTCTCTCTCTCTCTCTCTCTCTCTCTCTCTCTTCCACTCGGTTTTCTATCGTCCCGGATCGGAAGCCTTCGCTTTGAGCCAAGGTGGTCACCAAAGACTGGTCGCGTCTGCTCTCTTGAACTGCGCCTCACTTCGAAAGGCTTCGAAAGCGGAATCCAAGGTCTGTTGCTTTTTGCACGCTTGGGGCTTCCTGTTCTGGCCTCTTTTAATGCCAACTCGGAAACTCAAGAGATCTGATCCTGAGGCTTACCCTGAAGCGTCCCTGCCGTTAGCCCCTCGCGCCTCTGCCGCACGGGCGCTGCACAGCTCCTGCGGATGACCAAGGCTTTAAAGGTTTCACAGTGCATGTGTACATATGCATACAAACATAAACACATGATTGCATGACATCATTCACAGAGAGAGAGAGAGAGATAGAGAGAGAAGCGAGAGACTGGCTGTATCCCGCAGTATCATATCGGTACACATATACATATATACAGGTAGACAGAGAGCCAAACAGACGGACAGGCGGACGGACAGGTAGACAGACAGCCAGCCAGCCATGCAGACAGACAGGCAGACAGAGACAGATGAAGCGAGAGAGAGCGAGAGAGAGACTGGATGGATGCATGAATGGATGGATGGCTGGATGGACGGGAAGGAGGGAGGGAGGGACGGACTGAGGGACGGACGGATAGGATGGACAGACGGAAGGGAAGATAACTAGATAGATCGGTAAATAAATAGACAGGTAGATGGGAGATGGGACGATGGGTATGTAGGTGGGTAGATTGAGAAATCGACTGATGTTCAGAAGCTCTTCTTCTGAAACCTTGGCTTTCAATCTTGCACCTCGCTGTAGCCAAGCCTCCCAACCCCAACGTTGCATGAGGCCACAAATTTCCGTCTTGGTAGAGTTGGAGCCCAACCGGGAAGTTTCACGCAGGCACTGGTGCCGACCACTTCAATCACTTTCTGAAATATTTCCCATCAGCATGGAAGAGGCTTTTATTCACCACATTGCATGACGTGTGTTTGCAAGTCTTGGGGCACGAATCATACTACATCACATGTAGCGAACATGCTGGGTCGTGAGGGTCAGACATGGCACTCGACAACTACGCCAGCCCGATGTGTTGTGTCACAGTCATAGGATGGAAGAAGACAAGCACCATTCAGATACATTGACAAGTCCAGAATGCTTCAACATCCGTCTCTATATATGTACTTCCCTGGAGTATACACTTCCATTCCTGCTTGTGCATGCCTGCATGTGCACAGTACACATTACACATGCGTATGCGCATATGTAAGCGACGATATGCAGTGCGAGCTCCATGTGGAAGCATGAATCATAGCATGAGCACCAAAAAAGTGCATAGATCCATAATACTTGCCATGGTGATCAGACGCGATCGGCTTCAGGACGTCAAAGTACCTGCCTTCTCAATCAAAGGGTATGAAGTGCGATATCATTTATGGCCACACGGGTATCATGTCACAACTTCGTATATCATATCCTCTGGGTCTTAGGCCCGTCCTGCGAGGCCGTGAGGTCAATCTTGGCAGATCGCAAGAGAAGCCTGGGGAGTCCATCCGCAAAACTGAAAAGAGGGCTTTCTCCGAGTTAAGACTTCCGGGCCCACTGTGTTCATGTCTTTCCTGCCTACTCCCATCTCCTCCCGTTCAGGTATGGAAAGCACGACTAGCCCGGCTTGCATGCCGTGACTGCTTCAGATTCAGTCATAGTCGAATCGCTACATGCGTGGCTTTGCAAGCTTTTGGTGCCTGGGGTAAGCTTGTGTTCATTTCGACACGTTGTGAGACCTTCTGAAACCTCTCTGCAACGTGAGCCCTGAGTCTCCCGCAGCCTCAGACCCTAAGCCCAAGATAAGTCACGGTGATGATATCGACCATCAGTCTGAGCCCACTATCATGGTTCATACTCATGTTGCTACAGCTGTGAGCGCTTTTAGCAGCTTAGTGCTTTCACGCTTTCCCGGGCGACGCCTCATTTGCTCTGTTTCGTGCGCCGCCTTGTCGGACTCCTGACCACGGGGATGTGCTGGGCGCGGTGAGGAAAAAGCTGCTTATCAGGGTCTACGTTTCGAATTTCTGGCTAGTCCGAGTTAGACTGGAGTTGAACCAGTCAGAAATGAACAAATTGAACATCTTGTGGAAACTATCCAACTCGTCTTTGTCGATCTTATCACAGATCCTCAAGCATACTGTACTGGCATTCATGCGCCAGTATACGCCTCTGTTCATATGTGACTACGACCTGTACTCCGATTTCGATCAACAGGGAAGGGAAGCACAACAGGTGTAAAAGGGCATGCAGCACATCATCGTCTAGCATTCCGACATCCGGGAATCAGCGCAGCAGACAACGAGCCAAAAACTCTCAACTCTTCTAAGGGAGATTGCCTGCGCCGACCGCCATCCGGAGAAAGCCGCCCGCAAGGTCGCCTTGCGGACTGGCTTGGGACAAGAATGAGAGCCGGGCGCAGACAACGGGGTGAAGATCCTTCAGAGACGAGGAATCCCAGATAGGCGCGGTTAAAGGCTGTGGAAATCACGGTACAGCACTTCCGGAGCCAGAAACCTTCGAGCAACCAAGGAGCATGATAAGACTCGGACCCCGTCAAGCCTTCTTTAGACACGCGGGAGGATTAGCTTACACTGAAACAGTTTCTGGCTGCATCCTGCCAGTCACTCTCAAGAGGGCCCGGTAAACCCTAAGCCCCCTAACCAAAAATCCCTCACGGAGAGCAAAACGCCCTGCTAGCCCCAAGAATCTCGCCTCGAGACGTCCGGAGAGCAAGGAGGCGACGACGTGCTTTGCCGCCTGCTAGACGGATGGTTCCGGAATATTGTGGACGAGCGGTGTGCGCTTTGGGGCCATCCCCAACGCGAGAGACTCAGTATTGTCAGGACCTTTATGATCAGATGGGGGTTCGGGATATCGCATGGTATAGCTGCAACTAGGAGCCCTTAGGAATTGCTTCGGCCGCTATAGATTGGGCAGGTTTTCAGCCCCATTCATGTTTTGACTCCCCATTGCACATCTGAGCACTTCTTTGTGGTTCTCTGCCGCCGGCAACACCTAAGCTAGACGAAAAACGCGGGGCACATCGACCACGCTTGCAAGAAGCGCCTCAAAGCCACGATTGATGTTCCGATGGATCCTCAAGCAGAAACCGCAAAGCCGAAACCCTAGCCCTAGCCTTGGAAGCCCCTACCCCGACCCTAATCCTCCAACCCCATGCACGCCCAGACTTACTTGAGTCTGGCTCCCTTCGGCCTCCGCCCTCTGTGAAACACATAGCAGCTCAGCTCGATCTTTCGCAGATTCAGCAGTGGCCACAAGGGCCTGTAGCCGAGGCTTAAATATGGGAGTTTCCGAAAATAGGGGACCATAATAAAGCACCCTAAATAGTAGGATCCTTATTATAAGGACCCCAAAATAAGGTAGCCCTAATTTTCGGAAACTCCCACATAGAGGAGAGAGCTTCTTAGTCTAGGGGTTTGAGGGCTTAGGGCAAGAGCTTGAGGAGTTGTGCTTTTGTGCCGCATCTGCTTATGCGCACAGGTATCCACTTGATTAGCTTTGGACCGATACCCTCGCAACGAAACCAATCTGCTTAAATTCCTCTGCGATTGCTTGCTTGTCTTGCATATGAGTCTTGAATACACCGCGTTCAAGCCTGTTGCATACACTCTTGAAAAAGACGAAAGCCTTCCCTGTCCGAAGGGGGGGCAGTCCTAGATCCTGCTTTACGGTTGCTCTTGCAAACATATGCCCATCTGATCTGTACTTTCGGGGAGTTTCCGGCAAATGCGGAGGCGGATGAGATGCACGCACAGCGAGCTCGGTGAGATGGACTGTTAATTACAGTAGTTGCAGACAGCTGCAGAGCTGCAAACTCCCCGCACCTCTCTGTGGAAAGGACTTCGGATCAACGATGGGCAAGCAAAGCTAAGCTCGGAAAACCGGGTCAGCATACTCTCCGCGCCTGACTGGCGCTTGCTCTGGCAGCCTGCTCTGCGGCAGATTCGGCAGCCAACACGGCCTGTTTCCGCGAAAAGGGTGCAAAACAAGGGCTGAACGCATATCCTTCTGTGGTTGTCAGTGTTTCAAAAGGTGATCGTTGTACTACAAGCAATATTGTTGCTATCTTGTTGTGTGTCGGGGTGATGATGATGATGCTGACGATAACTATGGACAATGAATGATGGGTGGTGGATGGCGGGTGGCGGATGATGATGCTGATTGAAAGACGGTACCGCTGCTTACGATGATGATTGCGAAGAGGATGAGCGCCATTTCGCGGATGACTACCGTCCTGGCCGTGCTGCTCCTGCAGCGAAGAATGGCGGCAACCGCGACTGCAACGAGCTATGGGACGGGGTGGACCTCGGCTTAGCCACCTAGCCGGTATCAAACCGAGAACCTGCAGTGGCATCAACAGTGCAGTATGTACTGCATCTAGACTCGCACAAGTTCTCTAATAGGCCGAAGGTTCGGCGGTCAATCCCTCTCTTGAATCCGCAATACGGACAAAACCCAAGCTGCAAAGTTGAGGGGGCAAGCCATCGAGAGCCCTCGTGCCTCTTGAGCTTCACGGCGGCTTTGCATCAATTCTGTCCTGGCATCAACAGTCAGCATCATCATATTCCACAGGAGCATCACTGCCAAGATCACCGTTGTCCTTATGTTTATCTTCGCCGTCGTTGTCAACATAACTAAACATCGTAATCATCGCCATCACTTGATGATCGCCATCAGCATGACGATCATACTCGTCGTCATCAGCGATATCACAAAACCCACCATTGATGTAACCGAAACCTGCACCATCCCAAGCACCACCGGTGCTGGCACAAATTGCAGCACAAGCATCATCTGTAGCATCACCGTCAACATTAGCACTGCCAATATCTGGCGTTTACTCGAGTCGCTTTTGTGTTGCTGCCGCGTTTGCAGTGGTCAGTCCTTCTGCCACTGTTGTGCTCAGTGCTGTCGCTGTTTATGTTGAATCTGGTCGCGGTTCTCATGACGCTATTGCTCGTGACAGCGTCGTCTCTAGATTCTGCTCTTTGCTCGCTCAGTTGTTGATGCCGATGCTGATGTTAACATCGCACAAACAGCGATGTGAAACGGTAGAATGTGTAGGCTCTTCACCAACACCTCCTAGTCCCATGTTCCAAGAAACATCGTAGACTTGGGCAGCCACGGCTACGTCTCTCGCGCTCCTTTTCTACTATACCAGTACTGTTGCGACGAGTGGCGAACTGGGTTTTCGAATCTAAGCCATGCTTGATGACCCCTCTGAACCACGAAGTTCATTCAACGAGAGCACTTTCCTCAGCTTTTCGGTAGCAGCTGTTGAAGCTAATTTTGTTTCCCCTAGAGCAGCCTAGTTTATTGAACATCTACAGCTACTCGAGCTAGCCAGAACCTTACAGAATCCGTAGCTACCAAAATCTTTCCCTTCAGAAAGACACCCAATATCGCATCACATAACAATGAATCAGGTCTTGTGTATGTATATATATATACACACATACTATATTATATTGTATTTTGTATACAATATACAATCAATATATATATATATATATATATATGATATCTCTCTCTCTCTCTGTCTCTCTCCCTGTGATCAGCCGTGCACAGATCTCCGACCTGGAGTCCTCGAGCTCGCTCCGTAGTCGCTCGAGCTCTGCGGACTCTTGGGACCTGCCGATCTGGAGAGCTCTTAGGTTTGGGGTTTCGGGATTTAGGGTTTAGGGATCTGGAGAGCTTTTAGTTTTGGGGTTTCGGGGTTTAGGGTTATTGATTTGGAGAGCTTTTAGCTTTGGGGCTTCCGGTTTAGGGTTTGGGGTTTAGAGTTTTGGGGCTTCGGGGTTTCGAGGCTTATATCTTCTTCCGTCTTAATACATGACGGCAGCTCTCGCACGACTCTTGCTATCAGAACGCTGCCAACGACTCGATGTGGGATGCCCCAAGGTGCAGAGGATTCAGCCGGTAGGGTCAGGGTTTAGGGCTTTGGGTTGGTGAGAAGATTGGACAAGCAAGGGCTTTTGCGTCAAGCTGGAATCACCAGGCTACCGCAAAGCCAGGCTTGGATTTCAGAAAACTTTGACACCCTAGCAGAATCCTTCAGACAAGGACTCCCCAATAATGTAGTTGCAGAAAACTTTAGAACCCCAATATAACCATACATAATAATAAGACCCTTAAGCCCCAAACCCTAGACCCTAAAAAGAACTGTTTCGGCAATGGAAGCCTTCCATCCGTCAGCTTGCGCAACTGCTCCGAGCTCGAGGCTTCACGGGACCTGGGTTTGGTGCTTAGGTTTGAGGGGTTTGGAGTTTGTCATTGTTGCCCCCGTGCCGATGGATAGCAGCTGGCCGCCCACCCCTAGCAAGCACGTTGGCGCAACGTCTTGCCGTCAGCACTGACAGATGCTGCTAGTGAGTTGCCCTTGAAAGGGGAAGATCGCCAACGACAGCGATTTCACGTGTGCTACCCACGACCCCGCCAGCTGTGCGACTGTTTTCAGCAGGGCTGGGTAGCGTGGACGCCACAATCACAATAGGACATGAGACACGAAACAGATGACGGAGACTGCAGCAGGACCTCTGCGCGGATGAGCGCAGTTTTCAATGCAGGCAGGGTCTTGTGGTTTCGCTTGTTCGAATGGATGAGTATTGTATGGAAGTTGTTAAGTGAGCAGCATGGCTTTGGAGCATCGGACGACAAGCTTCAAAACAAGTCTGACGCCCCAAGCATGCAGCAAAAGAAGTCAGCTCGCGGCCGCGCATTTCGCAGTTCCTCCTGCAATGAAGCCTCGTCGGACCTGTCAGCAGTAAAAATCATCAGGATGTCGAACGCTTCACGACGTTAGAGAGCAACCAAAGAGTTTCGATGATTCCAGAATTCAGGCGAATGCTTGTTTGCCTTTGACACATGCTCCTACATAACACAGGCACGAAGTTCTTGCAAAAGCTCCCCAGCCCCCTTCAGGGCCCTTAAGTTCAAGTTGGCGCGGCCCAGAGTGGCCACGAGGCAACTCACTCATTCTCGTGGACCGTCCACTGAAATCCACGGCCTGGCACGTTCCAGCTCCACCGCTGCATCTGCTGCCTGGCTTAAACCAAACAGGGTACTAGAGGAGTACTGTAGGGGGCTACTATCAGAGTACGAAGAGGTGACTATCCTAGTCTTCCCGAACTCTGGATCTGCATCCTGGCCGTTCTGGCCACACAAAGACTTCCAGTCAACGGTTAAGACAACAAGGTTCTTCTTGAGTCATGGGAGGATTTGCCAAGCCTTGATGCAAAATCCCAGCCCTGATCTCCCACCCTACCCGTGACCTGGTCAAGTAGGAACTCGCTCTCTCTCTCTCTCTCTCTCTCTCTCTCTCCATAGATAGGTAGACAGTCATGTGAGCTTTTCAGGCAAAACGGCCTTGTCCGCTGCTGTCCGCACTTCGGAGCTCAAGGCCTCCACTTGCCTCCTGCGGAGGGAGGAAGCGAGGAGGGAATTCTTTTCTACCGAATGCCCCATAGGAGGGGTTTCGTTCAAGGGTGTGCAGTGTGTAGCCAAGGGCTTAGGAAGTTGATGCAAAATTGCTCTGCGAGACCCGCAAGCGTTCTTGAGCTTCGAGCTTCACGCGGTTCTTCGTGTCAGGGCATATCGTGCGGCAGCTAAGGGGGAACTCGACACGAGGCGCGTTCAGGAATGCGAGCGAACGGGGAACTTCGCCCCGCTCGTGGCTCGTATCAGGTGTGAGTCAGTTCGAACCGACTGCTGGGCTGCAGGCTTGTGGCTGTTTTGTAGGTTCCGGTTCAGGGCTAAAGTGTCTAAGCTCTAAGCCGTACTAGCAAGCACCAGAACGAAAGTTGCTTGGAAGATGTTGAGCTTGCGGGCTTCAGTAGCTTCAGCGAGAGGATTTGGCTGGGAACGGCCGGGCTGACTAGCGCCATGAAGTCCACGTCGTTGTGGCTACTCATCTTAGAGAACCGTCTGATCTGCGGTGCAAACATCGCCTCAGAGCATCAGCCTCCGCGGTGCTCGCAGCCAGAACATCCTCACCGAAGCAGTCTTGGCCATGATTCCAAAGATTGCAACTACTGAAACGCGCGACGGGGGTAGCATGCTTGCTGCACACCTTTAATTAATGTCGTGACAGGGTTCACGCGATGTCTTTCTAGGTTGTTGCTGGACATCTTGAAGGATTGACGTGAGGCACCTGTCCCTCGGCGCCGCTTGTGAGATGCAGCGAAACGTGTTGATCTCTGGATTAGTGTGCTTCGTCACCTTACAACCTGCACCGCTCCGGATAATCGAAAAACCACAGGCCGTCGCCGTCATCGCTCATCGCTCGCACCTCCGAAAAAGCCTTGTGCTCTACAGCAAGCCTCCGAGCTGTCTGTCGAAGCGGAAGCCCTATTCCCACATTGCTAACTGTTGATGGCTGCATATCACTGCTACTGCTGTTTATCCTGCCCAAGCAGAGGCCGTGGCTTACAAAAGCTCTGCGTGTTGAGCTCCCGGCAGCTGCCAGCTCTGCGCGCAGTTCGGTGACCTCGCGCCTCCGGGCAGACTGCAAGAAGGAAGCAAGGGCGACGCTCGCGCCTTGGAAAGGAACGGCATGAGAGGTGTGGCTCAACAGCTTCATATCCCAAACATGAAAAGGCACATATCAGATAAGATGCAATAACCAAGGAGCTTGTACATGCACCATGCGAGCTAAGAGCCGGGTCGAAGATTTTTTTACCAACTTCGAAGACGTGCCTAAATACTTTGATTACATCACCGCTGCGCCCTCCTAGCAGAAAGTAATTTGTTCGGCACTGGCCTCGCCTGCACTCTGCAGCTTTTGCAGCCTCCTTCGCCAGGGGCTCGTCGTCCTTGCGGTCCGAATAACTACTAAGAAGGAGTCTCCTGTTCACAGGAATCGGGAGGATTGGAAGACGAGGTGACATCTGCTTAAGCCGCTTGTTTGACTTCAAAGATGGAAGCCGTCTTCAACGAAAGAATCGAAATTGACAGGACCCTACAGCCTAAAACCCAGAAAGAGCCTGAAGCTGCAGCCCTAAATTACAGATCACTATCGCAGGCCGGTGTGACCGTCCTTGGGCGAAATTCCGGTGAGCACGATTCTCTATGAACCAGGAGGCGAAACAACTATGGAAGCTGGTGAGATCCATGGAACCCAAAGCCCCAGATGCAAGCAAGGGAACCCTCCAGCCCGAAAAGATCACAAAGGCCAGATTAAACCCATGGATGCCTCCAGGAATCTATAGCACGAGATGCAAAACAAAAACCCTCAAGGCCTCTAAACCCCAAGCCCTACAATCTCCGAGCCCCCCAAACCCCAATATCTGATGCCTAGATTTCACCCCTAGAACCCGAATCTTAAATCCCGAAACCCCAACTCCGAAACCTCCAAAACACGGTCAACTCTAAACTTTGACATCCTGATCATGATTGTCGCGACTCCTACTAGTGTTACTAGTATCTATGTTATTACGACCATGGTTGTTGATATCCTTAGAACTATTCAGTGCTGTTACTATTAACCCTAACTAAACCCTAAAAACTCAAACAAACTTTGTCCTTCACCTTCTGCCAGGCTCGAAAAGCGGTGCGAAGGAAAGCCTGAAACAATCCCCTACGCCTTAAACGATGTGGGGTTCGGTTGCGGGTTTAAGGTTTAGGGTTTTGGGTTTCAAACTTAAAACAAGGAAATTTGAAAACTATTGGTTACTATTGGAGTTTCGGGCCTAATTAAGGATTTTCGCAGTTTGCAGCGGTTCTCTGGATGCTGTGGGGTTTCCCAGCATGTCGTGTTTCTCGTCTTGACTGCGGGAGGGATAAAGCTTCACGCGCACACACACACACACACACACACACACACACACACACACACACACACCCAGCTTCCTTAGTCGCCCCTTTGTAAGGCCCTTTCTAATAAGGGTGGCCTTTCTTCCTACTGGTGGGGAACCTAGACACACAGAGAGACACAAGAAGCAACATGAAATTTCGTTGGACTTGCAAGTCTCTTCGGATCGCCCGCGGTCGGAGTCCGAAGAAATATAGAGGCCTTTGATGATTCGAAGAGGAATGGGGGGTAGACCAGCCTACATTACTCGAATTACGGCCTTGTGCTCAGCTCATGCTGCGGAGTTTCCCCAAAAAGCCTCGAAACTGGAAGCCAAGAGCGATGAGATCAGGCGCCGCGCGCCCTGGCTCGGCTCTGAGGATTCCGAGAGAGGCTTGGGTTTACTTAGGGTCTACAAAGTTTCGGGCTTTGGGGGGCCTCTTGGAGTGTAGGTCTGTCGGTACGACTTCACAAAGGTAGCGTCGCAGGCGGTTTCGCTTCACGCCATGTCACAGCTTGTCGTTGCCGTGTCCATTGAAACTTGCGCGCATCTCTTGGCCTCTTCGCGCTCTGCTTCATGCGTATCCTACTCGAGGAAGCCACCATTCTACGGCTAGACATGTGTGCAGATTTGCGCCGGACAAAGCTTCGACAGAACGACATCGGGAGCCTGCTCCCTGCGCGCCACGAGCATCTCCGAGAGTTCATGCCTTACTGTATGCAAGATAAGAGTCCGAGGGCAGATCTGTCTGTCCGATTAACATCGTAGGCTTCAGGCCCTAGCTGTAGCCGTAAAGAACCCCAGGAGGTCCGCAGCGGCTCTCCAAAACCACCTCTTGTGCACCCCAAGGTACTGCATGGAGTCACGGGACAGCGCCGTCAATGCTTCGGCCTTTCGCAAGCAAAGTTCTGGGAAGTTTCAAGGTTCTGCCCATAGTGACCGGCACAACATCTAAGTACCTATCCTCATGTGTTAACGACAGAGACAGACAGACGGAGAGAGAGAGAGAGAGAGAGACGCGGCATATAGATGCATCGCTGCATCAACTAGCTGATACTGTCGATGGAACCATAAGCCAGAACAAAGAAAGCACACAAATGGATGTAGTGGCAAACAGAGCTGGTAGGCGAAGAGATAGATCGATAGGTGAGCAAGTACGTACACTACAAACAAACACATGTACAGTACATACACACAGCATGCACATATACGGACCTACATGCCTACGGACAGACAACATGGCATGTGTATTATGGCCTTGCTCTGATGTGTGATAGATATGGTTATGTTTACGTACAGAGAGAGAGAGAGAGAGAGAGAGAGACAGAGAGAGACAGAGAGAGACAGAGAGAGACAGAGAGAGAGACAGAGAGAGACAGAGAGAGACAGAGAGAGACAGAGAGAGACAGAGAGAGACAGAGAGAGACAGAGAGAGACAGAGAGAGACAGAGAGAGACAGAGAGAGACAGCGAGAGACAGCGAGAGACAGAGAGAGACAGAGAGAGACAGAGAGAGACAGAGAGAGACAGAGAGAGACAGAGAGAGACAGAGAGAGACAGAGAGAGAGAGGAGGGGAGAGGAGACTCTTTGCACCGTGGCACCCACCTCTGAATGCTCCAGCTGCATCAATCGAACACTGGCATCCACCTCATGTTGATTACACAGCCGAGACGTGAAGGAACAGCATGGCTTGCTGTTTGGGGCATGAGCAGCGGCAGCAGTAGCAGTAGCGGCTTCAGCGGGACGAGGAATTGAATAGCATGCTGTTGGTGTTACTCTTACTGTCGCTGTTGCTGTTAGTGGTGGCATGGTGGTGGCGGCGGCACTTCCGGTGGCATGACGGTGGCGGTGGCAATGGCGGTGGCGGTCGTGGCGGTGGTGCCGTGGTGGCGGCGGCGGCGGCGGCGGCGGCGGTGGTGGTCGTGGTGGTGGTGGTCGTGGTGGTGCTGCTGGTGCTGTACAGCAATTAGGCTTCGCATTGCTGTTGCCTGTGGACATGCAAGTCCAGGAATCTCGCTAAAAACGGGCCCCTCACAGACCAACTCAACATGTGCAACGGTGTCGCGAAACGTGAAGCAGCATATTCCTCAGTCTCCATGTCGGATTCTCGCAAAGCCTGTCTCGCATGAATCTCGAACCGGAAGTCAACCATCAAAAGAGTGCCTGCTGGTCGCAGATCTCGGACTTTGCCGCTGCAACCTGATCCAACCCTTTCTGGACAAGTAAGTCTTGGCTTTTGGCAGCATTCCTTGAACAAACTGACTGCTGGTACTGGGCCATGACTTTGTCTACCCGACAGTTCACAAGTAACACAGCAAAGTCAATGACCGGACGCCCTACCGACCCTTCCAAAGGCGCACCTCCGCCAGGGCCTCTTTGAGGGTCTGCCGTAGGGAAGAGGCCGTTGCGGCCTGCGTATTCCGTTTGTTCTACTTTGGCTCTGCCGCTTTGGAGGGCTCAAAAGGCGATCGGAATCGAGATGGGCCATCTTCTCACACAGATACGTGGAACCCCCTGGCCCTGGCCGTGCAAAGCTTCGAGCCCGCAAAAAAAGGCAGGATCGGCCAGAGCCAGGAACCCGCTACACGCACCCGCTTTGCCAACAGGACCAGGAAAAACTCAAAAGCCTAAGAACCCCGAAGTCAAGCAGCCTAGACCCGACCCTCAGCAAAACTGACGCCGACCGTTTTATAAACCTACACCCCAAAAGGCCCCGTGTGGCTCAAAAGCTCTGATTGCGGTTTTTGGGCCTCGTCCTTCGCAGCCGCCCGGGCTTCCGCCATCGCTGCGAGGGCAGCGGAGGCCTCGCTGGAAGCCTGGGAGCTTTTCGGGAGCTTTCGGTGCTTTAAAAGGATACTCTAAGGTCCTTTAAAGGGGATATATAGGGTTCTGCAATGGTGTGCCTTTTCAAAGGCTTTTGGGGCGCAGGTTTTGCAGATTTGGATGATCAGTTTTGGTGGATTTGCAAACTTTTTCGGCTGTGGACCTTTGGAGGTTAAGGCTCTTGGACTGTCAGGGCGGTTGAGGCTTCAGGTTTTCAGATTTCTGTGTGGCTTCAGGGCTTCATGTTCATGGCCCAGGGCTGATGATCCTGGGGCTTCAGGCCTTCGTGGTTTTGGACTTAGGGCGTTCATGGATCTGCGAGAGTCAAGCTTCGGGTTGCTGCACGGCTCGGATGGCAAGTTGAAAGCTTCATTCAACTCAGAAGAGCTTGCATCACTCCTGCGCCAGACAAGGAGAGTGTGTGAGGAACTACCAGCCCTGTGTGCCAGGTTCTTCGAGCCGACACCGACAGCAAACCCTAAACCCAAAAGAACACAACGCGGCATAAACTCAAGCTGGCCTCCCGGGCGTTCTTCGTCAGCTCGGCCTGGGAAATGATCTGGGACCTGCCGGGGAGTACGAAGGGTCAACATGGTACCAGTAGTAGTGATACTGTCGCCGATGAAGATCGCAGGATCCTGATGCGAAGCTCGAATAGCCCAGGAGCCTGAACCCCATAGCCCTTCGAACCCTTCGAGCAACCTCAGCTCTAAGCCCTCAACTCTCAAAGCCTAAAGCCCCAACCCCTAGAGGCTTGAGACCACTTGAGGTCTCAAACCCGGATCCCTGAAAGGGTGAAACCCTGAACCGAACCCTTTGCTTCTGCTTGTCCCGACCTTGCGCCCTGGAGCTCTTCTCGGAGCTTCGACAGGTTCGCGGCCTCGCTGGCCCTGAGCTTTGAGGTCCAGACTTCAGCGGCTCGTAGGCTTAAATGCACTGACTAAATCGAATAAACAGTGTATGATCGGATTCCTATTGCTTTAACTTCAACTATTTATTTTATGAGCAGTTTAGTAAAAAGGTGCTCAATCTACAAGGCTGCTGTCACTTTGCGTAATATCCCCTGCGCAGTCCCTCTCGCTAGGTAATATACTCCTGTCTGCCGTGCTATGGGCACCGGGATGGGGACAGGTGAGAAGAAGGATGAATTTCCGGACTGAAGCTTTCCGTCTTTCATATTATGTTGGACCAGCAGATCTAGCTTTCCAGTGTCTCCCGTCCTTTTCTCTCCGAGGCGGTTGTACAGGCACCCTGGCCAAACTAGATCTGTTTGCCGAAACCTGCACTACAGCCCTGCCTTGTCCCATCCAGCTCTGCGCGCACGAGCGCTGCTTCTGCCTGGATGTGGCGCTTATCATTGGGTCGATCCTAGAGGGTCCCTATCCGGGGGTTTTCATGGTTTTCTGCGAATCTGTTTGTTGGGCGCCCAATCAAACCCGGCCACCCGGCCCAACATAGAACCTCTGGAAAGCCTTTTAAAAGCGCCTCAAATCTGTGAGACGGCTTCTTGTCTCGGCCTCTTGGCTTTATGGTCTCTTCGGGTAGCGATATTCGGATTTCGACTCAAGTCGTCGTTGCATATACGGGCAGTACTACGACTTTGAGGACTGCTGCTACAACGAAACGGAAGGCTGACCAAAGCTGGGCAAACCAGATGTGCCGGGCATCAGACCTGGCCCTGGAAATCCCTGCAAGCCAACCCACGTTGTGAAGCGATGATGCCGGGAAGGGCTTGCGGTGTGGCTTGTGATGTGATAATCCCTGCTTCGGGCTTCCGCGCTCCTTGGGAAAAACCATCACAATGCACGGCTGGCAGCATGTACTGAGCAGGTGTTCTGACAGTCATCCTCGAAGGCAGCTTTAAGAAACATGCTGTGGTTCAGTTCAAGCTGCAGGTTGTAAGCCGGGACTTGCTGCGTCATTCAAGCTTAAGGGGGCTTACATAGCACAGGAGGCGGGGGGCAGCGAATCTTGGGCAGCTCGGCGAGCTTGAATCCGTCTCCAAGTCCGACAATGCTCAGTGGCTTAGCTGCACCGGTCCAATTCAAGACGGAACGGAAACGCACGAACAGTGATCATGATCATGATCATGATCATCATCATCGTCATCACCCGGCTTGTCTGTAACACCTTTTCACTGTACATCATTGACACCATGTCATCATGCACGTGGCTACCCATGACTGGCGATCATCGGGAAGTCTAATACCCTGCCTTTTCCTCAACCCAAAGGTCCTGGCCCCTGGATCCAAGAAGTGCTCAGCTCGCCTGCGTCTGCCGGATACGCTGATTTAGCGCCTCCATCTCCGCCTCCAGCTTTCGCCGAACCTGCTAGGCGACTGTGGACTGCTGACATCGGGATACCAAGTTGGAGGATTAAGAGACCCAGGGCTCGTGATCAGAGGATCGGATTTCGAAGTCGGGATACCCCGATCTGTTGAATACCACGCTCACCCCAACATGTTGAGCATGATGAGCGTGGGCACCTCAGCCCCAACCCCAATGACGTTGCAGGGTCGCTGACCTCCTTCTGATTTCTGACGAACCTCTAGGTACCCAAGCAAACGTTGCTCTCCAAGACGGTGCAATTGCGGGCCGTCTACCTTTTAGACTGGGGGCCCCCCTTGAGTTTAGGGTTTTGGGTTTAGGGTTCTTTTCCCTTCTCCCTAAACCCTAAACTCTAAGTTTTAGATTAGGCCCCCCCCCCTTTTTACCACCTCTTTCCCTCCTTCAGACACTCAAAGAGGGGCCCCCCTTGAGTTTAGGGCTTTGGGTTTTAGGGTTCTTTTCCCCTATTCCGTCTACCTTTTAGACTAGGCCCCCCTTGAGTTTAGGGTGTTGGGTTTAGGGTTCCCTTCCAGTTTTCCCTTCCCCTAAACCCTAAAGCTTAGTCTTCTTTTCCCTTTCTTTCAGATACTTTCAGCGTCCACCTTAACCCTAAACCCTAAATTTTAGATTTTGGGTTTAGGGTTCTTTTCCACTTTTCCCTTAAAGTTTAGGGTTCTTTTCCGTTTCTTCTTCAGATCCTCAAAAGCCACGGCCTCCTGCTCCTCCGCCAGCTCAAGCTCGCTTGCGGCCAGGTGGGCTCGGACCTGCACAGATCTTCGGAAGTCCTATATGGTAACCTTTGGTATAGAAATCCTGTATTATATACTATAGTATGGAAATCCTATATTGTATACTATAGTGTAGAGATCCTATAAAAAATAACAAAGTGTAGAATATGACAGTATAAACTTGTATATTCTATTAAGCAATTAAGGCCCCGGTAAAACCCATTTAAGAAAGCCATGTCAGGGAGAAGAGAGAGGTGTCTGGAACAGTCTGGGCCGGCGCAAGCTCAAGCAATAGCCTGCATACTTGGAGGATCATGGGACCTATTAAGTCAGGTTATAAGTACCTTAATTGGGGTTATAAGCAGTTATAAGTACAGTTACCCTGAATATAACCCTAGTTACTAAGTCCCATGAGCCTTCAAGTATGAGTCCTGAGGCAGCGAAACCTGGTTAGGTCGACACTTTGACACCTTGCTGGTCCCTAAACCCTACGTGGATCCTGAAGAACCTTCCTTTTTAAGGCTCCTTAGTATGATTTGCTTTATATACGTCCGAAAAAATGGTACGTTCTTCAGGGTCCAGGTAAACCCTAAACCCAAAACCCCAATAATTGCTGATTTCGAGTTGGACATAGTCCAAGTGTGCATGGTGCGAAGCTCACAGAGACGCATCTCAAGCCAGTTCCCAAAATTCCCCCGACTGTCCGCCGTAAACCCACAAGCGAGGATAACACACAATATACAATGTATAGGCACATATTACATATTTCATATAATACATGACATACAACATATGACACACACATAAACACATATACATATATGGGTCCCCATATATATATATATATATATGTATACATATATATATATATGTATATATATATATATAATAAATACAGGAAGGCCTCCGCGGTTTGGGCGACTGCTTTTGCCGCCTCATGCCTCTCACCCGGGGAGGTTTCTCGAATTCTCGGATCTACACAGTTTGACATGCAAACGGAGTTTGCCTTATCAAAGTTGTTGCTCCATCTCGCGATACCATCTCAATCTTGTGACGGTGGTCTTTTGCCGCTTTGGCCTACCATCGTGCAGGGCACGCTGTAACTGTATCTCAACCTCAAGGTTTGCCAGAATGCATCTTGCACCGAAAATTTGGGAAGCTACGTTTGCCCGGAATCCGAAACATGGTGACATCACGCTCAAACCAATACCTTAGAAAAGAAACCAAACCCTCAGACTCTAAACCTGGCTCGCCTGCTGCGCTCGATGGTGTCGGTGGTTTCGGCACCCTCGGCGTCCTTCTTAGAAGCCTGTCTGCTCGCTGCTGGATGGTCCGACTCTTGTTTGAAAGACCCTTGTGCTCAAGCCATCCAATATGTGAGTGACTCTGCTGTGGCCTGTTGCCGGCACAGCGCAAGACCTGGAGGTGAAGGCCGGCTCGGATGCACCAACACACTACTACGAGGTCTTCTCTGAACCCGCACATTCGCAAAGGGCTGAAACCCAAAGTTCTATATACTTGAAATGCAACAGCAACCTAGCCAACCCAGCTGCGAAAGACCTAAAGTTGAATTTGGGCCAAGAACGACTCTCAGAAGACCTGGAACAAGATGCTCAAAGAAGCCAAAGCGAGGGTAAGGCAAGGAGAGATGAGAGGCTGAGACTGAGAAGAGATGATGCACGAGGGAGAGCGAAGAATTGGGGATGATGCAGATTTCCGGAAGTGGAAGAGCTTTCGGCCGTGCGGCGTGTCTGGCGGTGCGCTTTCAGGGCCGCCTCCGCACGGTCCTCCGAGGATGCGAGCCAAGCTTTGACCTAGAGAAGTACTGCAGTGCAACGGTTTGCAGGTGATAGTGAACCAAGCGGGTAAAGCAGGACAGACTTTGAAGGACAACTTTTGTTCGTCAACGCCGTGGTTTCGACTGCGAGAACGCGTTTGCCGTTTGATCAAGTCTTGCATGTGTTGGCCAGGAGCGTGCTGCACTCCGCGTGTGCTACAGCAATGAAACATCTGTAATAGCCACATCCGTGGAGCCATGATCCCCTTTGCCTTGAACTCTAACTCTGTAAATTCTGTAAGTCTATAACTACCCATGCCATGACTTCCAGCTACGCTGCTAGACGAGCTCCGAACCCGCAAGAAGCCCCAAGTTTCCGACTGCTTCCAAGTCCGACTTCCCGAAACTCTGAAGCCGGTGGCTGAATCCTCGAAGCTTGAATGCCACTCTGCGTTTCGGACCAGTCCCTGAACACCCCTTCCCCTAAACCCGACCCTAAAGCCCTTAACGCCATGAGTCCAAAACCTTAACACACAAACCTGAAACCCTCATAGCCGCGCGGCCCCGAGATCCTTGAAACACCTCAGAAAGCGCAAAAACAAAACCCTTGCCGCCTGCGAAGCAACAGACCCAAACCGCACCCCCCGCCTAAACCCTGTAGGGGAGCCCTTATAGGAACCCTGTATAGGGCAGCCCTGATAGGAACCCTTTCCAGGAACAGCCCCCCTGGGAACAAAGCTCCTGAGCTGCTTTCGACTGCTCTTCTACCCGGGCAAAACTCTCCGGATCTCGTTCCTGCTTTTGGGGTGTGGTGGGTATGGGGTTTTAGGGAATTGAGTTTGGGGGCCTGCAGTAGGGTTGAGGATTGGGGTTTACAGTTAAGGTTTTAGGCCCGCTGTTCGGTGAGTAGGGTTAAGGCTTATATTAAGATTACACTACGCTTGGTGTTTAGAGTCTAGAGTTGACTTCTAATCTTCAATCCCTCCTGGGCACAGGCTCAGGGCTCAAGGCATGGTTGACGGGGGCAACAACCCTGAACCATGTCAAGCTTAAGGAGGCAGTACACGTTGCATAACCCCCCCCCCCCGCAAGCCCCTTATATGACCCCTTGAGCCTGAAACACTTGCACCCTGGCCTTCAGGTAACTTCTCGAGAAGCCCAAGTAGGGCGCTGAGCTGGATCGGCGAGCCTCCGCGTCTTAGGAGGGGTTGGCTTTGAGGGATTTCGGGTTTGGGGTTTTGTTATACGGCTGCTATACCATATTTGGGGAAAGGTTTATCAAAGGCTTATCAGGTGCTACAAGCTGCTGTATGAGGTTACGGCTTATAAGTCGCAGGGTGTGGGTGTCACAGATTACCGATAGATAGATAGGCAGATCGGCAGAAGCTGGACAGATAGACAGACAGACGGATAGATACATGGATCGACCTATCGATGGAGTGAAAGATAGAGAGAGAGAGAGAGAGAAAGATGCAGATGGATGGATTGATAGATGGACAGATGGATAATGGATGTACCCATGGCTGGATGGATGGATGGACGCATGGCCGGCTGGATGGATGAATGTATGATAGACTGGATAGGTGTGGGAAGCGTAGATTGATAGAAAGATGATAGATGGATATAAAGCAAAATGGAGGGATAGATGGATGGGTAGATAGTTAAAGCGAGTGAGGTGGGTAGGTTGGTAGATAGATGTGCGGATGGATAGATAGACTGATAGATAGATATTGTAGGCAGGTGGATAGATAGCGAGATAGGTGTACAAGGGCCTACTGCATGGGGTTCAGAGCTTCATCCTATACAGAGCCGAAACCAAAGCCTGCACCGGTTGAAAGGTCCGGAGATCTTGGAGAAAGCATGTTGCCTTCTTGCTCCCTGCCTAAAGCCTCCATAGCAACATGGACGCCGGACTCAATGACGATGGCGACTATCTGGTTCTCAAAATGCTGTGACCACAGCACATGCAGCAGCGGATCCCAACGCAACTCGCCAACATAACATCTACGCTGCAGCATGTCCGCCTCGCGCTGCTCCACCGATCGACGGAAGTCCTTTGTCGGCACCACAGTGCAAGAAAGAAAGAAACCAGACTGCACTCGAATCGAAGGGCAGAAGCGACATGCTTCGGGACGCCTCGGGCGGAAGGCCCGTGGCCCTGTTCCGTGTCGCACTGACGTGGTCTAACCTGGCCGAGTACCCTTCAGAGGCCCTGCAGTCCTTTCGGAGCTCCGCCAGCTCGTCGGCAGCGCTGGTGGCGGCACTGGCAGCGCCGCTGCAAGCAGTGGCGGCCAAGATCTGGGCCGGATGAGGGGTTTTGCAGAGGTCCTACAGGGTTCGGTTGCTGGGGATCTCATAGGTTCTGAGAAACCCTGAATGGTTGCTCTTCAAGGGTATTTTGGCTTTAGGATTGCGCACGCTAGCCATCTTCCCGCTGAGCTACGGAAGTATCTGCACTTCTTTCGTCCTGGACTTCTTTTGGACTTTCTTGGATAGCTCGACTTCTGCCAGTTTTTGACATGGATGCTCGGCATGGTTGCTTGACATGGAAGCCTATCCGAGCCCTCCGGAAAGTACGGACATGTCGAGGGCGATTCCGATTTGGATGACCTCACCTGGAGGCACATAGAACCTGCACGCTGTGAAAACTGCAGCTCAGCCCGAAAAACTTGCCTAAACCCGCACATTCCATCGATTCGAAGCAGAGTCTGTACACGACTGGACTGCTGGTACTCGGTACTCGGCATACTTGGGCCTCACTTTGAACTGACTGGGGCATCGGGCCACGCTTCGCAGCGCTGTGCTGGCAGCCACGCGACTCATTGTCGGCGTCTGGCCAGGGATGCTTGAGGCTCCCCATGCTGTTTCCAAAATAATCCATCTCTTTTTAAGAGAAACCCAGTGAAAGCTAGTCCTGCACTCCCGGAGCAACTGCGGCACAAACAGCCCCGGTCCCGTCCTGCGGCGGATCCTCGGGAGCCAGCAGCATGGGCATCGGCGACAGCCCCCTGCACAACGGGGTGCCGATGGTAGCGCTGCAACGGTGTCAGGAACAAAGCTCGGGCTGAGGGTCTGGGATGCTGCGCACTCAGAAGCTTTATCAGAAAAGACCACTCGCAATCGGGTTGTTTCGAACCATGAGAACACTTGTAAAACATCGCCTGTGCATGTCGCTGCACGCCGCTCACTAGATGCCACTTACCTCTTTCAGCTGTCCAAAGGCTTCTGCTACTGCGCCTGCCAAGTTGGACTCGGGTAGCCCGGCGCGTCCATGAGCGTCCGACGTCCGTTGGTTGTGGACTAAGAGTTTGGGGGTTTAGGGTTTTAGGTTCGGAACTTAGCCACGTGTCGTTGCTGTCTCTTGAGCTCTTCTTGTCGGGATATGTCAGCTGCGTTCATGCTGCAACAACCAACGACTCCTGTACCGGGTCACCTGGTCCCTTGCTGCCTGGTCTCTTGCTGACTGCATTTCCGAGTTTCTGCTCCGGTTCACCAAGAAACTGAGAATTTTGCCTTTCGCAAGATCAACGAAGCTTTGCTGGTCTTCCTTGAGCAATTCGTGCAGACCGGGCATGAGAGCTCCTAATTCAAATTCCGCCCCTTGAATCCCCCTGAATCCGCTGGGTTCGAGCTTGCAGGTTTGGGAGTACGGCCAAAGAGAGCCTTGAAAAACTAATGCTCGATATTCCTGCACCACGGCGGGCTTGGATCTCTGCAGATCTTCTGTTGACGATTTTAAGTTTAGAGGCTAAGGTTTACGGCTTGGCTTTAGGGTTCGCCAAATTTCCGCCTTTGTTAGTTCAATCACGGATCTGTACAAGAACGATCCCAGTAGTACCGTTTCCTCGTCCGAAACTCACAGACAGCGAGCCCGAAGCGTAGCAAAAGCACGCACGGATTGGTCCTAGACCCCACTCAAGCTTTCAATCACAAGGCCAAAGGCGGTGAGGGCCAGGCAGTCCAGTCATCACTCGTTCTTTGCCGAACAGCTTTTGCTAGAAACGAGGCCAGAGCGCAGCTCCCTGCTGACTGCGGTGCCCTCACTTCCGACCTGATGCGAACAACTTAGAAGCAGTTTCCTCTTCCCCTCTCTCAGGCGCAACCGTGAGTCACGATAGTCAGGCTTCCCTCGAAGCACTTTTTGTCACAAAGCGGTCTGAACTGCGCAGAAATCTGCGAAGACCACACGTGGGTCCGCAAGCAGAACTTGCTATGCCTGTGAAGGGAAACAGAGGAGGAGTGCCGCCGTGCGGCTGCGATTCGGGCTTCTGAAGTCTTTCGTGTTCAACAAGCGACTCACCCCCTCAGCTGGGCGTGGACCGAGACTGTGAAGATGCTTCCATCCCAAGGTTGAGACGGTCGATGAGATGTGGTCCAGTTACTCGTGCAACTCGAGGGTGTAGAGAGTACAACACTAGGGATGGCACTACATGAGCCTTTGCTCATGCTGTGAGGATCCTGGCCACACGCCCGGGTAGAAAATTCGTCGTGCATATCTTCTTTTCGTTTGCTGCCCTGAAGTGGCAAAACTAGTTTTAGCTGAGAGCACTTCCAGGCAGCGCGTTTGGCAGAAGGAAAGTGGAGCATGTGTGCTTGAATAGGATGGCTTCACTTGAATAGCACCAGATCAAACTAGAACCGGTAGATGAATTGTCAAGAGAGGTAATCAAAAGCGGCTCCTGCGTCTGCCCTGGCTTTCGACCAGCACTGCGTTAGCTGCGCTGGATGTACGTGCAAGCCAGAAAAAGCATGAAACCCATCGTACCGAAACCGGGGCTCGAGGCTGGTGCCGCGGACACTGGCTGCGTGCTCACTGTGATAGTGGTGCCTGTGCCGCCTGTCGTGCTCGTCGCCGTGGTCGTGAGTCCCTGATCCAAGGCCGCAGAGACCCCAAAATCCACGGTATCGTAACCCGAGCCGATGGCCGTGAAGGACACCACCACATTGTCCAGCGCAGCCAGCCGACGGCCTCCGCCTGTGAGATTCTGGACACCACACCGGAAGGACGCCGTCGTGCCGGAAGGAGCGCACTCGGACACGCAGAGCGGCTCTGGAGACGCCTCCTCATCAAAGATCTCGTATTCACCACTCCTGCGCATGGCGGTGGCTGCATAGATCTCAATCTGCCCGCAGTCTTCTCCAGACCCAGCCGTCTCTTCCGTCACGGGTGTGACGTTGGAGTTCATCCCATCCACTAAGTCATCGAAGCTCGCACCGGTGAGGTTCGCAAAGGTTTGGTTCATGCTGTCCTGAACCAGTTGCGGCCGGCGGTCATGTCTCGTAGGCACGGCGCTGACATTGAGCTCAAAGGACAAGTTCTCCACGTTGGGAGGGAGGGTCACCGACACAACCTTGCGGTAGGTTGCGTTCTTGCTGGAGTTTGAGCTGTTTGCTGACAGGACGGATGTGTCCACCGCAACTCCATCGACCTCTCGGAACTCGCGATAGTAGATGAAGGAGTAATAGTTGCAAGACTCTTCAGAGTCACCGCAGCCACGCGCTGGCACCACCCAGTCTGTGTTGCCTGGCGGCTCAAAGCTGTTTCTCGTCAAGGATGCATGAATAGTCATGCTTGGATTCCAGTAGTCGAAATACTCCTGACGCACAATGCGGCAGCGGCCATGCACGATTTGCCAAGCGACACAAGGGTTCTTGGGAGTGCCGGCATCATCCATCTCCACAACACCACCCACACTCGGGAGCCAGCTCATAGAACGGCACATCTCGCAACACTCCTCTGCATCATTGATGGTGTTGAATCTCACTGTCACGTTGCAGTCCGACTGGAAGCCTGTCTCATTGGGATCCCCTTCAGGGCACTCATGGTTTGGTAGCTCGTGCCCATCAGGAAGCTCACCGCCAGGAAGGTTTGTGCCGGAGGTCAGCTCTTGCAGGCGCTTGAAGCCTCCATCCACGACGCAGCGACCGCCAGTGTGAAGGTTAGCAGCATCTGCTGCCCCGGCGGCATGGCGGTAGTAGAACTGCTCTCCTGAGCCACAGCGCGTGTCCTGGTACTTCACCGATCGCCCTGACGAGCTATCCATGTTAGCATAGATAATCTTCTCGCGGTCAACACGACAGTTCGTTCCAATTCGCTGAAAGAAGAGGGCGGCACCACCATCTTCCCAGGAGCTGTTTTCGAAAGACATCGCCTTCAAACAGCACTCCAAGTCAGTGGAAACCGTGAAGACTTCAGTGGCTGGCGTAGGGGAACCGCTGTAGCCTGGGTAAACGCCTCCATAGGTGGATCCCCAGCCACATGCCAGATCTCCATTGGCCTTCAGCCACTTGCCTGCATTGTTGTTGGCCGTGCTGTTGCAGGGAGGTCGGTTTTCCTCGGCTGTGCCACAAGTCCAAGGATCTTCCGCCTGGACGAGATCAAGACCTGCACATGCGGAGGCTGCATCAGACGTGTCCGGCAAGGAGCCCTCGAACGCCTGATCCACGCAGGTAATCATGTCCCTGCCACACCCATATGCTGGATAGCATGCTACGCCCAGCTCGAAGTTCTGCTGAGCAGTGCCGACCCCCGATGCCTGCTTCTGGCAAATGGTGCCATCGCCAGGCCCTGCGCCTGCAAAGTAACGCCTGCAGCGGGAGGGGCAGCGCACGCTGCCGCCAGGGTTAATGTAGCTCTCGTCCAACGGGACGGGTATGCCGGTACTCTTCATCTCATTGCCTTCCGTCGCATTGGTCTCGTTGCTCTCATTGGTGAAGTTGGCACCAGCCCCGAACAGAAGAGACAAGCAGAAAGAAAGAAGCAAGAGACGGCAGGCCATGGCACGAACTGAGGGAACCCTACTTGGGACCTGATTTCGGCCTCAAATGGCTGCGCAAATCTGACTCTGCTGGAAGGGCCGTTGATTGAGACGACCCCACACATCTTCTGCGTCACACGAGCAAGCTATCAGATGGAAACCCTCTAAGCCCCGTGCTTGCACAGCCAGACCTGCGAACTCTGCCGCAGCACCTCGCAGTATGATGGGATCCGAAAGCATAAAGATGTATACAGCTACAGGCAAGCACAGGGATCCTGGCCTGCAACTGTTCAAACCATTCTGCCCCGCCTGCCAAGTCTTCGGTGGCCGCCGGGCCCGTCCATGCGGATCTGCGTATACCGTTGCTGTCTGTCTGTGTCTGCTTTGAACAACATGGGACAACTTTGATTCCTGTGGTCTTGTCATTGTTAGCAGTGTTCCAGCGGTCCAATCTGGCTCTTGAGGCTCCAATCGCCTAGCAGCCAAGAAGCGCTGCCCCTTTGGGCGATTTTCAGTGTGTAACACCTGAGAAAGGGCAGTGCATGGCAGAGCGCAGACCTTCCGGTGGAGCAGCTTTTGCTCCTCCCTGCTCAATCCATCGCCTTGGGCTTTGTCCACTAAGCGATGCAAGGTCTGGGGCCAGTGGCCTAAGACGGACTTCGTCCGTATACACAAAGCGGGGCTTTCCACGCCCTCGATGGTACTCAGAGCCGTGTCGGCGCATTCAGCTCTGCTGCATGTAGATTGAGAACGGTTCAGAAATGCAGCCTCATATTCAGCAGTGTGCTGAATGCCACAGCTCTAGGTCTACCCATAAGGCAGCGAGAGATGCTGGGCACCGGGTTCGGTCTTTGCCCTATTGTGGCATATGTCGCTGCCTTTTCCTCACGCTTCACAGTCGAGCTAGCGGCTGACTGTTGGAGCAGGCCAGGATGCAGTATTGTGCAGTAGGACTTGGTTACTTTCTATGTCGGGTTAGTGCTTGCATGGTCGCGCATCAGAGTTCGCACAGCATCGCAGCCAACAACTGGCATGTCAATTGGTCTCCAAATCCACTGTGACACAGAGGCAAGAGTGCAGCTCTGCTTCCTGCTTACTGTGTCTGACTGCTGCAGGCCGTCGGTGACCTCACTTCTTCTTGTTGTTGGACCTGATTGACGCGAACAAGTTAAAGGCTTCCCTGGAGAGGCAAGTAAGAAGCAATGTTGAACCGGCATAGGAGGTCGCTTGTTGGTCTCTTTCGCCGGTGCCGTAGCCGCTTTGCCCTTTTCAGCCGCCTTCATGGGCAGAACGCGCCCCACCGAAGGAGCACCGATTTCTCCTTGCTCCGGCCTTGGCCAACATAACATCTACGCTGCAGCATGTCCGCCTCGCGCTGCTCCACCGATCGACGGAAGTCCTTTGTCGGCACCACAGTGCAAGAAAGAAAGAAACCAGACTGCACTCGAATCGAAGGGCAGAAGCGACATGCTTCGGGACGCCTCGGGCGGAAGGCCCGTGGCCCTGTTCCGTGTCGCACTGACGTGGTCTAACCTGGCCGAGTACCCTTCAGAGGCCCTGCAGTCCTTTCGGAGCTCCGCCAGCTCGTCGGCAGCGCTGGTGGCGGCACTGGCAGCGCCGCTGCAAGCAGTGGCGGCCAAGATCTGGGCCGGATGAGGGGTTTTGCAGAGGTCCTACAGGGTTCGGTTGCTGGGGATCTCATAGGTTCTGAGAAACCCTGAATGGTTGCTCTTCAAGGGTATTTTGGCTTTAGGATTGCGCACGCTAGCCATTTTCCCGCTGAGCTACGGAAGTATCTGCACTTCTTTCGTCCTGGACTTCTTTTGGACTTTCTTGGATAGCTCGACTTCTGCCAGTTTTTGACATGGATGCTCGGCATGGTTGCTTGACATGGAAGCCTATCCGAGCCCTCCGGAAAGTACGGACATGTCGAGGGCGATTCCGATTTGGATGACCTCACCTGGAGGCACATAGAACCTGCACGCTGTGAAAACTGCAGCTCAGCCCGAAAAACTTGCCTAAACCCGCACATTCCATCGATTCGAAGCAGAGTCTGTACACGACTGGACTGCTGGTACTCGGTACTCGGCATACTTGGGCCTCACTTTGAACTGACTGGGGCATCGGGCCACGCTTCGCAGCGCTGTGCTGGCAGCCACGCGACTCATTGTCGGCGTCTGGCCAGGGATGCTTGAGGCTCCCCATGCTGTTTCCAAAATAATCCATCTCTTTTTAAGAGAAACCCAGTGAAAGCTAGTCCTGCACTCCCGGAGCAACTGCGGCACAAACAGCCCCGGTCCCGTCCTGCGGCGGATCGTCGGGAGCCAGCAGCATGGGCATCGGCGACAGCCCCCTGCACAACGGGGTGCCGATGGTAGCGCTGCAACGGTGTCAGGAACAAAGCTCGGGCTGAGGGTCTGGGATGCTGCGCACTCAGAAGCTTTATCAGAAAAGACCACTCGCAATCGGGTTGTTTCGAACCATGAGAACACTTGTAAAACATCGCCTGTGCATGTCGCTGCACGCCGCTCACTAGATGCCACTTACCTCTTTCAGCTGTCCAAAGGCTTCTGCTACTGCGCCTGCCAAGTTGGACTCGGGTAGCCCGGCGCGTCCATGAGCGTCCGACGTCCGTTGGTTGTGGACTAAGAGTTTGGGGGTTTAGGGTTTTAGGTTCGGAACTTAGCCACGTGTCGTTGCTGTCTCTTGAGCTCTTCTTGTCGGGATATGTCAGCTGCGTTCATGCTGCAACAACCAACGACTCCTGTACCGGGTCACCTGGTCCCTTGCTGCATGGTCTCTTGCTGACTGCATTTCCGAGTTTCTGCTCCGGTTCACCAAGAAACTGAGAATTTTGCCTTTCGCAAGATCAACGAAGCTTTGCTGGTCTTCCTTGAGCAATTCGTGCAGACCGGGCATGAGAGCTCCTAATTCAAATTCCGCCCCTTGAATCCCCCTGAATCCGCTGGGTTCGAGCTTGCAGGTTTGGGAGTACGGCCAAAGAGAGCCTTGAAAAACTAATGCTCGATATTCCTGCACCACGGCGGGCTTGGATCTCTGCAGATCTTCTGTTGACGATTTTAAGTTTAGAGGCTAAGGTTTACGGCTTGGCTTTAGGGTTCGCCAAATTTCCGCCTTTGTTAGTTCAATCACGGATCTGTACAAGAACGATCCCAGTAGTACCGTTTCCTCGTCCGAAACTCACAGACAGCGAGCCCGAAGCGTAGCAAAAGCACGCACGGATTGGTCCTAGACCCCACTCAAGCTTTCAATCACAAGGCCAAAGGCGGTGAGGGCCAGGCAGTCCAGTCATCACTCGTTCTTTGCCGAACAGCTTTTGCTAGAAACGAGGCCAGAGCGCAGCTCCCTGCTGACTGCGGTGCCCTCACTTCCGACCTGATGCGAACAACTTAGAAGCAGTTTCCTCTTCCCCTCTCTCAGGCGCAACCGTGAGTCACGATAGTCAGGCTTCCCTCGAAGCACTTTTTGTCACAAAGCGGTCTGAACTGCGCAGAAATCTGCGAAGACCACACGTGGGTCCGCAAGCAGAACTTGCTATGCCTGTGAAGGGAAACAGAGGAGGAGTGCCGCCGTGCGGCTGCGATTCGGGCTTCTGAAGTCTTTCGTGTTCAACAAGCGACTCACCCCCTCAGCTGGGCGTGGACCGAGACTGTGAAGATGCTTCCATCCCAAGGTTGAGACGGTCGATGAGATGTGGTCCAGTTACTCGTGCAACTCGAGGGTGTAGAGAGTACAACACTAGGGATGGCACTACATGAGCCTTTGCTCATGCTGTGAGGATCCTGGCCACACGCCCGGGTAGAAAATTCGTCGTGCATATCTTCTTTTCGTTTGCTGCCCTGAAGTGGCAAAACTAGTTTTAGCTGAGAGCACTTCCAGGCAGCGCGTTTGGCAGAAGGAAAGTGGAGCATGTGTGCTTGAATAGGATGGCTTCACTTGAATAGCACCAGATCAAACTAGAACCGGTAGATGAATTGTCAAGAGAGGTAATCAAAAGCGGCTCCTGCGTCTGCCCTGGCTTTCGACCAGCACTGCGTTAGCTGCGCTGGATGTACGTGCAAGCCAGAAAAAGCATGAAACCCATCGTACCGAAACCGGGGCTCGAGGCTGGTGCCGCGGACACTGGCTGCGTGCTCACTGTGATAGTGGTGCCTGTGCCGCCTGTCGTGCTCGTCGCCGTGGTCGTGAGTCCCTGATCCAAGGCCGCAGAGACCCCAAAATCCACGGTATCGTAACCCGAGCCGATGGCCGTGAAGGACACCACCACATTGTCCAGCGCAGCCAGCCGACGGCCTCCGCCTGTGAGATTCTGGACACCACACCGGAAGGACGCCGTCGTGCCGGAAGGAGCGCACTCGGACACGCAGAGCGGCTCTGGAGACGCCTCCTCATCAAAGATCTCGTATTCACCACTCCTGCGCATGGCGGTGGCTGCATAGATCTCAATCTGCCCGCAGTCTTCTCCAGACCCAGCCGTCTCTTCCGTCACGGGTGTGACGTTGGAGTTCATCCCATCCACTAAGTCATCGAAGCTCGCACCGGTGAGGTTCGCAAAGGTTTGGTTCATGCTGTCCTGAACCAGTTGCGGCCGGCGGTCATGTCTCGTAGGCACGGCGCTGACATTGAGCTCAAAGGACAAGTTCTCCACGTTGGGAGGGAGGGTCACCGACACAACCTTGCGGTAGGTTGCGTTCTTGCTGGAGTTTGAGCTGTTTGCTGACAGGACGGATGTGTCCACCGCAACTCCATCGACCTCTCGGAACTCGCGATAGTAGATGAAGGAGTAATAGTTGCAAGACTCTTCAGAGTCACCGCAGCCACGCGCTGGCACCACCCAGTCTGTGTTGCCTGGCGGCTCAAAGCTGTTTCTCGTCAAGGATGCATGAATAGTCATGCTTGGATTCCAGTAGTCGAAATACTCCTGACGCACAATGCGGCAGCGGCCATGCACGATTTGCCAAGCGACACAAGGGTTCTTGGGAGTGCCGGCATCATCCATCTCCACAACACCACCCACACTCGGGAGCCAGCTCATAGAACGGCACATCTCGCAACACTCCTCTGCATCATTGATGGTGTTGAATCTCACTGTCACGTTGCAGTCCGACTGGAAGCCTGTCTCATTGGGATCCCCTTCAGGGCACTCATGGTTTGGTAGCTCGTGCCCATCAGGAAGCTCACCGCCAGGAAGGTTTGTGCCGGAGGTCAGCTCTTGCAGGCGCTTGAAGCCTCCATCCACGACGCAGCGACCGCCAGTGTGAAGGTTAGCAGCATCTGCTGCCCCGGCGGCATGGCGGTAGTAGAACTGCTCTCCTGAGCCACAGCGCGTGTCCTGGTACTTCACCGATCGCCCTGACGAGCTATCCATGTTAGCATAGATAATCTTCTCGCGGTCAACACGACAGTTCGTTCCAATTCGCTGAAAGAAGAGGGCGGCACCACCATCTTCCCAGGAGCTGTTTTCGAAAGACATCGCCTTCAAACAGCACTCCAAGTCAGTGGAAACCGTGAAGACTTCAGTGGCTGGCGTAGGGGAACCGCTGTAGCCTGGGTAAACGCCTCCATAGGTGGATCCCCAGCCACATGCCAGATCTCCATTGGCCTTCAGCCACTTGCCTGCATTGTTGTTGGCCGTGCTGTTGCAGGGAGGTCGGTTTTCCTCGGCTGTGCCACAAGTCCAAGGATCTTCCGCCTGGACGAGATCAAGACCTGCACATGCGGAGGCTGCATCAGACGTGTCCGGCAAGGAGCCCTCGAACGCCTGATCCACGCAGGTAATCATGTCCCTGCCACACCCATATGCTGGATAGCATGCTACGCCCAGCTCGAAGTTCTGCTGAGCAGTGCCGACCCCCGATGCCTGCTTCTGGCAAATGGTGCCATCGCCAGGCCCTGCGCCTGCAAAGTAACGCCTGCAGCGGGAGGGGCAGCGCACGCTGCCGCCAGGGTTAATGTAGCTCTCGTCCAACGGGACGGGTATGCCGGTACTCTTCATCTCATTGCCTTCCGTCGCATTGGTCTCGTTGCTCTCATTGGTGAAGTTGGCACCAGCCCCGAACAGAAGAGACAAGCAGAAAGAAAGAAGCAAGAGACGGCAGGCCATGGCACGAACTGAGGGAACCCTACTTGGGACCTGATTTCGGCCTCAAATGGCTGCGCAAATCTGACTCTGCTGGAAGGGCCGTTGATTGAGACGACCCCACACATCTTCTGCGTCACACGAGCAAGCTATCAGATGGAAACCCTCTAAGCCCCGTGCTTGCACAGCCAGACCTGCGAACTCTGCCGCAGCACCTCGCAGTATGATGGGATCCGAAAGCATAAAGATGTATACAGCTACAGGCAAGCACAGGGATCCTGGCCTGCAACTGTTCAAACCATTCTGCCCCGCCTGCCAAGTCTTCGGTGGCCGCCGGGCCCGTCCATGCGGATCTGCGTATACCGTTGCTGTCTGTCTGTGTCTGCTTTGAACAACATGGGACAACTTTGATTCCTGTGGTCTTGTCATTGTTAGCAGTGTTCCAGCGGTCCAATCTGGCTCTTGAGGCTCCAATCGCCTAGCAGCCAAGAAGCGCTGCCCCTTTGGGCGATTTTCAGTGTGTAACACCTGAGAAAGGGCAGTGCATGGCAGAGCGCAGACCTTCCGGTGGAGCAGCTTTTGCTCCTCCCTGCTCAATCCATCGCCTTGGGCTTTGTCCACTAAGCGATGCAAGGTCTGGGGCCAGTGGCCTAAGACGGACTTCGTCCGTATACACAAAGCGGGGCTTTCCACGCCCTCGATGGTACTCAGAGCCGTGTCGGCGCATTCAGCTCTGCTGCATGTAGATTGAGAACGGTTCAGAAATGCAGCCTCATATTCAGCAGTGTGCTGAATGCCACAGCTCTAGGTCTACCCATAAGGCAGCGAGAGATGCTGGGCACCGGGTTCGGTCTTTGCCCTATTGTGGCATATGTCGCTGCCTTTTCCTCACGCTTCACAGTCGAGCTAGCGGCTGACTGTTGGAGCAGGCCAGGATGCAGTATTGTGCAGTAGGACTTGGTTACTTTCTATGTCGGGTTAGTGCTTGCATGGTCGCGCATCAGAGTTCGCACAGCATCGCAGCCAACAACTGGCATGTCAATTGGTCTCCAAATCCACTGTGACACAGAGGCAAGAGTGCAGCTCTGCTTCCTGCTTACTGTGTCTGACTGCTGCAGGCCGTCGGTGACCTCACTTCTTCTTGTTGTTGGACCTGATTGACGCGAACAAGTTAAAGGCTTCCCTGGAGAGGCAAGTAAGAAGCAATGTTGAACCGGCATAGGAGGTCGCTTGTTGGTCTCTTTCGCCGGTGCCGTAGCCGCTTTGCCCTTTTCAGCCGCCTTCATGGGCAGAACGCGCCCCACCGAAGGAGCACCGATTTCTCCTTGCTCCGGCCTTGGAAGCTTTGCCGTTCTTCTTTGAAGTGTCCTCCTGACAAGCACGTTTTCTGGCCAAAAGAATGTGGCATCCCGTGCAAGGCACCGCCACCTTCGAGGACTTTCTCCGCAAGCAGCAGCATCCACAACAACACCTCACCATAGACTAGGCCCTAGGCTCAAGATCGGATGATCGCAGCCTTCAAGGCTCAGAGTTCGAAGGTCACACCCTCGGCATGCTCGGCGCATGGCAGGCAGCAGAGAAGCGTCCAAGAGATCCAGAAGGCCACGAGCGCCAACTTCACCAAGGCGTACCTCAAGGAGGTGAGGCTGTTTCAAAAAGCTCCCCTTTGGACAGGTCCATGTCTTGGAAGCTCCTGCAACCAGAGCTCCGAGACTCCGAGAGCCGCACACTGCTGCAGCAATGTACAGCACGAAAAGGGCGAGATTGCCCGGAGTCTCGGTGCAGGAAGCTCTGCTGTGTGTGATGCATCACGAACTCACTGAGTTGGGAGGTTTCTGAGCCCGGCACTCGCACAATCAAACCTGCGTACTGTGGCAGCGCCTCGCGAGATGAATTGTCCAGAGTCGAGATGCCAGACGTTGCATGGGGTATATTAATAGACTCCCGAGATCCCGGTGCGCGGTACCAAACTCGCACTAGATCAGGGCGACCGTGAAGTGGATGCGTTTGAGTTGGCAAGAGGTGCAAAGTGCGAGGTTCTGAAAATCAGAAACCCCTTTCGGAAGGGGTGCCTACGTTGAGACAACCAATTGCTTCAAAGAGAGCCCTCTGTTTTACGCCAACCCTGACTGAAACTATCCCAAACGGCCAGTCCATGCCAGTGCGGAACTAAAACACAGCGCCCACAGGCCAACTTTCTCTTAGTGATCGTCTGCCTGTCTTTCTGCTCGCTGCTAGGTATCATGACTTGTAGATTCGAGCTCTGGTTTAGCTTCTGATTTCTGATTCTGGCTGACGGCAGCTGGCACTCATTGTACGCTCTCCAAGCATCGCGTGTTCTCTTGGGTGCCGACTGTCTCAAACGTGTCAACGACGAAGTGTGTGTACGTAGTCATCAGCCTCAGGATTGGGCTTGCACAACGTTGAGGTCAAATCAAAGTCGCACAGGGTCTCTTTGTGCTGGGACGATGCAGAATCTACATTAAATAGTACGTGTTATTGTGTATATATATATATGTATGACTCATATGTATCATAAATTTTGATGCTTTGCATTTTATGTCAGATTAAACCATATAGAAGTGGAGAGAACCTCTCTTTTCGCGACACGAGCTCAGCGCACGCTGCTGCGGAGCCTCCTTATGCTCGAGCCTAGCTGACCTACTGTCATCCACACCGGCCTTGATCGCATGAGTCAGAAGATGGCACAGAAAGTCGTCTCAAGTCAGGTGTGTGTGAAAACCTGAGAAAATTTGCCTTGAGGCATAAAATCAGAGATGGGCCTCACCTTCACCCAGAGAGCTGGCGATGAAGCCGACCACACACCTTGTGATGCTCTTGCCTGGGTATATAATCAGAAGAAGACCATCTTGCGATGAGGCCCGAGAACTGAAGCAATTGCTATCTACCGCGAAAAGTCATGGAGTCAAGAGAGGTCCCGCTTGGCAAAGCTCCATCGGCGCCGCACCATCTTTACATGCCCTGCATGATCTTGGCCTCAGGGCATGACGAGGTCGGTTTCGGAGTCCGGAGTCGAATCTCTGACTGTCAGTTTTTAGCAACCTAAACTGAGAGGCGAGCCCCCATTTTCGACAAGAGCCGGTCTCCCACCGCCTGCGGCTGCAGACCGCGCTTCCGGCCCTGTGTCCCTCCCTCTGCCCTTCCTCCTGATCCGGTCTCGTTCACCCTTTTGCATGCCTGCAACTGGCACATCTTCGATGCGCGTGGGTGAAACGACGATTGAACAGGTGAGACTACATGATGCCGGGTAATGTGAAACGGTCCAGTTAAGTTGTTACATCTCCTCTCATGCTTACATATTGTCATTGGGTGTCCGGGCGTCACTGACACCCCGACGATCTCAGATCACGCCGAGTGCCTCCGTGACAAGGAACATGAAAACTACAGTGCACCCTATGCTTTAGTTACCTTGGTTTATCTATGCACCTCCAGATCCGGCTGCACATTTTGACCGTCGGCGAGAGATTGATCCAAACCAGCCTCACATCTCGGGGTTTGGGGTCTAGAGTTTGGGGACATCGGAGGTTCAGGATTTGGGGGCTGGAGTTTCAGGTTTGGGATTTCGGGTTTATGATTTGGGGCCCAGGACATGCAGGGACAGAGACAGGGAGACATAGGGAGATGGGAGTTGTATTACTGGCCCTTGTGTGATTCTGGGGCTCCGGGTTTACAACAGAGCGATCGTGATGCCAATCGGTCATGGTTAAAGTCCTTCGTATTGCGGACACCTGGGTTGCAGATGTGCAAGTCACGAAGATGAAGGAGACCATTGTCCGTTCGGACACCGGTGCCTTCCTGCAAAGCCCTCCCTCGGGAAAGGCCGCTTCAGAGGCTTGATCCTGAAATCATGGCAGGTAACAAGGATGCGCAGGCTCTGCAAAGTCCGAGCCAGCAGATCCTGAAAGGCGTGTCTGCGCAGATGGCACTCAAAAGCAGCTGATAACTGTTCATGATTCAGGGTTCAGGGTTTAGGATTATCTTGATTACACTAATACTATACTGCTCAGCTCCTCGGCCTTCAGTTCAGGTGCCGGATAGCCTCAGGCTGGTCGGCTTGATGTGGCCGGCTACTCCAGCACTCAAACAGACATGGGGCTGGCTACTTGCTAGTGACCAGTGAATTCTGCACCAGGGCAGCGCCTCTGCAACTTTTGTTCGATCCATAAGCCAAGAGGCTCGAGAGTTCGTAGCAGTCATCATGCCACGTCTGCGTCAGCTTGAGGCGAGCACAGAGCTTGGGGAAATCTTCCAGCTGGCTCCTTAGCGAAACCCACAAACAATATGTATGGCAAATGTGCAGAGTCTGACAATCAGACCTCGACCGAAATGTGCTCCAGACTGCGTTTCTGCCACGGTACAGCTCTGGCAGCTGCATGGCAGCAGTTAGCTGCATACCTTCGCGACTTGACATGCTTTCCACTCAAAATCCACAACGGCCTGAACACAACAACAATAGCTCGGCGAAACGAGTCAAGATGCCAGAACCCAAGTGGAGGGAGTCCACGGTGACATAGCCAAACTTCGCATGGCGAGAGTAGCCTGTCCAATACAGGAACTCCTTTTGCAGGAGTGGGCATAGGCTGGTTTTGCCAGCATTGGAGAGGAGTTGCTGGCACATTCTCTTACGTTCAAACCTTTCTTCGTCGCAAGCACAGCGGGAACTCCCGCGGACAAAGAAACTGCTTGTCCGCCCTCCAGAATTGCCCAATGCAAAGTCTGGCAGCTTGTGACCATCACCATCTTATGCTGGCAACATGCATCATCATCATCATCATCAAAACCATCATCTTCACTGCCGTCATCTCCCACCATCGTCCTCAGAACCATCGTCTTAATTACCATCGTCGTCATCACTAGTATTTATTAGCACCACCACCACCACCAGTAGCAGCGTAGCAGCGGCAGCAACGAAAACAACAACGTCCTCATCGTTATCGGCCCAGCTGCATCACGAGCGGCAGCGACGGCATCAACACAAGCAGCATTAACAGCAACAGCAACATCATCATCGATATCATCATCACCCACGTCATCATCGCCATCATCAGCGATGAATCATCATGAGGAGGGTTATCAACCTGAACCATAAGCACCAACTTTGAGAGACGTGAGCGGTTGCTAGAGGGTACAGGGTAACAGAAGTTTACTGCGTATACAAGGACATACTCACGGTTCTTATTGGGGCCACCACTACTGGCAGTATCAATCAGGCCACATCTCTGAATCCTGCAAGTTCCGTAGCTTGCAGCGCCCGATGGATATGGCTCACCTACTTGCAACAGATCGACAAACATCGTCATCCTCCCAATCCTCATCCTTCTCCTCATCAATATGAGCATGCTGACAGGCTTCTCTGCCATCTCTTCTCACGTGCACAAGCATGCAAGTCATCGCGTCAAGCATGCGAGAACAAGCTGCCAGACTGCATCCCAGAAGCCCCTGGAGCAAAGGGAGTTGAGCTCCGTCTCGATGTTGTCGGCCATCCCTGCGTCAGTTGCGTGCCCGGGTCACAGTAGAAATGTCAAATGATTTTGTGCAAATGCTGGTCTCTGTGTGAACGTGGAACGGTGCCGTAAATCCTTCTGTAGATACATAAATATGTACATATATATATATATATATACATATATACAAACATATATGTATATAGCATGAAATACTGTTACACCCGCCTTGAACCTTTCGATATGCCAGCTGCATGTCACCGCCCGGGACGAAGCACCTGGTGCTTGTCGCCAAGTCACTCCTCTTCAGCTCAACTTACCCCTCAGCTAAGAATCTCAAGGAGTACCTTTCACCATGGTTGGTCCGTCAATAATTCAAGATGGTTACAAAACCAGCGAGGTTTGGGGCTCTCTGGTCAATACCCTGTCACGACTGCAAAGTCATATATTAGACGAGACCGGAGACAACACGCGGAAACAGGCGGCTGCAAAGGGCTGCACCGTAGTCGGAGATGATCAGCTTGATTCACCCACGCCAAAGTCTCGCAACCGTCGTCTGCGGTTCCTGAGGACCGAGAGGAAAATCGAAAGCATCTCGTCCCAATCACGTAAACATTGCATGTGACTGTGAGGATCTGAGACACGGAGGGCACTAACACTCCTGAAACCTTAACCCGACACCAGGAACATGAAGCAGTCGTGTGGCCGTCGCTCAGAAAGGCCCCACGCGCATCCGGCCATTCCCGACCAACTCCACTGCTCAGCTCGCCCAGTGCGTGCGGAGCCGGGAACAGCCTCAGAGATTGCAGATCGGCTGTTTCTTATGTGCCTGCTCTTTTGGGTCCAGGTGGGGCTTAGGGAACCGAGGAATGCCGGGAAGTGGGGACGATTTCGAGCCCCAAGTCATGACTGGCGCATCCGTAAGTATGATTTTTGCATCTTTTGCCCTAGCACAGACGGTCTGTAGCTGTGTTCCTCCGGCAGAAGAACAGTCTCCTCGTTCTTTCTTCATATTTCCACTGAAACTGCTCACATCAAACCATTAATCATTAATCTTAGCCCTGCTCCGTCTCCTCCTTGCAGAAGCCCAGACCACCGCATGCCACGGGCCAAAAGAATTGGTGGGAGGGAGCAGAGGGGCCCGGACAGTCTCAACGGTACTTCCTCCACAAAGCCAGGACAACACGATGTGGGAAGTCTCAAGCCCGAGACCACCCCCAGCGCCGCCCAGACTCACAAGCTCCAAAACCCCACGTAACGACAGCAGAAGATGACAAAACACGGACGGGCCCGAGCAGGACTCTGGATGCATCCAGCGATTCGAAGGCCAAGATGGCACCAAGGCTTTAGATTTGTACTGCGAACGCAGTCCCTGCTCGGGACTTTGACGAGAACATGATTTTCGCGACGAGTGTGAACCGCAGACAGAATCGCCGGGTGCACCAAGCACCGGCACCTCGTACCTTCGGCAACGAAATCACCTAATCCTTTTTATCCTTTCCAGGAAACCCATACTTAGACCATACATGACCCCACTATACCACACTGCTTGAGGAAGAAGAGCGCAACATCAACAGGACAATGCGTGTACGATTGTGGTGACAATGCCGTCGCATCACCTGATGCAATGCCTCAAACCCTCAACTTTCCGCTGAGTCGCTTTCCCAATCTCACGAGATGCCGTTCCTCCTGAAAGCAGGACGTGGTCGTGTTGCTTCTCTAGCAAGGTCTACAGTTTGCAGCTTGTAAGCTGGATCAATTTAACAGCAAGGATGCCGAGTCTCCTGTTGATTGATGCCATTGGGCATCAAGGGATAGCTTTGAGAGAAGGCCAACGGATAGTACCTTCGCTGCAGAAAGTACTCCAATGCACGGTCTGCTGCACACAGAGAGTGAGTGAATCGCTGAAAACAAACTGCGGCACAGCTGCTGGCCCGTCACAGCCTGTGCACTCCGGCGATAATTTGACTTAGGCTTAGGGGTATGTGGATTTGCTGCTTATCTTACTCACCATAACATGCATGACAATCTCGGTGTGCCTTGTTCCGAAGAGTTCGCACTCCAGCATTGCCTGCTACCTCCTTGTTCGGCTATTTGCATCTGTTCACAATGTGAAGACGGCAATGCCCACCTTCTGATTCTCCATGCAGCGCACCAGCAGACGCTCCACCTCTCGCCTTTCATCTGTGGAGCATGATGGGGCGAACCTGCCGTTGTAAGCAACTCTCTTTCAGCAATGCAGAAGCTCCAACGCATGCGCACCGTATTCATGACATGTTGATTCGAGCTGGTCCCTTCACGCCTGAGGCCAGAAACATTGCGTCGCATCTCGATCTTCACCCACTGGCATGAGCTTGTTAGCTCAAGGGTTTTGCAGCTACCTGGTGTGTCAAGACGCAAAGGCGCAGCAGACACCACATCAGGCCACCCCTACCCCAAAAGCTCTGGCCTCGTGGAGGCTCCCAGGAGGCTTGGAGTGCCTGGAGCTGTCCGTGCACGGCGACGAACAATTCGCGGAAGGTGTCCAAGCACTCTTCGTCCCCGGCAACGAGGCCCGAGGCAGTCCTTGGAGTAGCTCGTGTGCAGGTGTACGGCCCATAAGCTCCATACAAGCCCCTAAAAGGGAACCCCTGTATAGTCCTGGCTGGAAGAGGTTTTAGGAGCTTAGGGCCCTAGGCTCTATCGTTTTCCACATCCCAGCGCGCGTAAAGGCTGCCGAGGGTCTTCTGCCTTCCCACATCTCGGTCGAAAGCGGGCCTCAAACAGACGCCGAGGTGCGTACCAGCGGAAGTCGCCAAGCTGCGGTACTGGAGGTAGAGTTTGGGATTCACCCTCAAGGAAGCCGCCACCAAGCCTTGACTCACCAGAGACCCCAACCCTGAGCACGCCTGAACCATCCTGAACCCCACATATCTCCACATCGGGCCTACATCCTGTAAGCTCTAAAGCATAGCAAAGTACAAGTGTTGCAAATGAAAGTGAGCGTAAGCAACTACGGCAGCCGGCGAGGTCGGGCATGGCTTCAGGGCACGGCCCGTTGCAGGGCAGAGGGCTGAAGGGCAGCTCTGTGCCCAGGCCCGGGAGAGAATCGAAGATCGGCTCTTTCTGCTCTAAGCGCTGCTCCAGTCCCACGAGAAGTTTGCAGCCCTGAATCATTTCGTTCATCACCTCCACCTCGGACACTCCCAGGCTACTCAAACTGTGGATCTGCCACAAATTCCCGGAGATGGCGGAGCTGCTGGAGTCACAGTGTAAATGCAAGCACTCACACAGCGCCGGCAGATCGACGGCTTTGGCCAACAACGGGATTCGCAGCGTCAGCGTCACGCGCAGGGCCGCGCCGACGCGAGAAGGACAGGTCGTGAGCCACCCGAGCTTGTTTGAAGAGGCGAAGGCTCTGCCGGCCATGGTCGCCGCCTCGGAGACGGCCGACATCGTCTTCGCCATGCGCTCGTAGAGCTCTTTGAGCTCAGAGCCTTCCTGCCTTGCGAAGAAGCGATAGTGATCCTCCTCATTGCACCAGACGAAAACACCAGGAGCATCACAGACCATCACCCCACGGGCATCGGGCCAGTGTCTTCCGAATCCTGCTGCCAACTTCAACTTGGAATCCGGCTCGGTCAAGAGCATCCCCACCTTCCGAAGCCGCTCCTCTTGGAAGGCTGCCATGCCACCCGAACGTTTCTGCCAACTCTTCGAGCCGGCCAGGGGGAGGTAGGTTCCGCGCAGCCGGGCCGAGGACAAGAGCTTCTCCACTTCTCGGCGCTCCTCCCTGGAGCAGCTGACAGGCATGCGAATTCCTTCGACATTTCGACGTGCCTCCAAGACTGCGTAGACGACGTAGCTCCCTGACGGATCGATTTGGTCACCGGAGATCTTGGTGACATCCCCATCCAAAGGATGGGTCGCGCCATCCGCGCCGCTGCGCATGGAGCCCTTCAAGCTCAGGCTTGCCACGAGAGGGTCGAAGAATTGCTGGAATAGGCTATAACATTCACCATCACCAGCAAAGGCCCCAGCTACTTTCACCATCGGGTGCCCTGGACAGTCCACGCCGGGCTTTATACACTGTGCCAAAGATACACCCATGCTGGTTCGAAGGTTTGCGAGCTGCTCGATCTCTGGCTGTGCCCGCAACACTTCAGTGGCAATGCTGTTATGTTTGCTGAGGTCAGGAAGCGGGAATGCTGCGAAACCAGGCAGCGGATTCTCCCCCAAGCCGGGCTCGGAAGAGAAGTCGATCTCATTCCTGTCGGCATGGTCTGCTTCATCCTGCTTCTGCTCGATGAAATCCGCCAGAAATCCAAGATAATCCTCTGGTTTTCGCTCAAGGAGCTGGGTGAACATCTCCTGCAGAATCCGCTCTTGTATAGCCCAGCAAGACTACACATGTCTTGAAAATGTATAGCTGTTTATTGCAAAAGACGCACGAGATTAGACACGAAGACTGAGACTGCGCCCTTTCTCCTGCAGAAAGTGCTGCACCCCACGCTGCTCCATGTACTGCTTTGCCCGCTCTGCAGCATTGCGGCCGCGAGAGGCTCCTGACTTCTCCTGCGACGCCGTCGACTTTCCACCCGACGCAACAGCCACTACGTTCAGAAAGCCATGACGACAAAGCCGGAGATGACAATCAGAAGTAGTGCCAGCGAAACAACCGAAACCACGAAGTAGACAACGAGATACCAAGCAGCAGAACCATCACCGTTACAGCCACCCATCATATCACAGTGATTCGGAATAAACCCAAACTGGATGTTCAGAAGATGAAGGGCCCCAACATACAAGGACCTAGAGAAGGTGCAAATAATTCTGACCACATGCAGCCCTCTATGAAAATCCGAATGAAGCTGCATCACAACCCTCTGAAACCCCGTGAAGCCCTTACAAGCTCCCATTCAAACCCTAAATCCCGAAATAAAAACCCCTAAACCCTAAACTCACAAAAAAAACCCAAAGAGCCCTCTTTGGAGCCCCTCGTCCTGGTGGTCGAAAGATCGCAGCGAGGCTTCGAAGGAGGCCTTCAGTGGCGCGCTGCCGATGTCCAGGGTCTCGATCCTTTTCGGGTTTAGGGAATTTGTTTTTTGAACCCTCTTTTCCGGGTTTAGGGTATCGGGGTTAGGGTTTGGGTTTGGCGTTTAGCGTTTAGGGTCTATGGTATCGGGTTTAGGGTTTGGGGCTTAGGGTTTCGGGTTTAGGGCTGAAGCTGCTGTGGGTTATTGGCTATTGCGTAAAGTATACAGTGACTGTCTCGGGGGGGTGGGGGGGCTATAAAGGGATGTTGTTGCCACGGCAAGCGCGCTTTCAGGAGTTTGGGGTAGTTTTGGTTGATTTCACAGCGAAGGGTTGTCGGGGGAGAATTTAGGGCTTCAGGGTCTAGGTCTAGGTCGAAGCGGCTTCGGGTGCTTCGTCCTTGATTCGAGTCAGTCGAGTTCGTGCAGTCTTCACCTGATTTAAAAGGAACACTTCGACGAAAGATTTCTTCCCAAGTTGAGTTGGCCTGAACCCTCAATCCTGAACCAACAAGCCTAAGCCCTGAACCTTAAAAGTCTAAGCCCTGAACCTTAAAGCATAAACCCTGAGCCCTGAACCTTTAAAGCCTAAACCCTGAACCTTGAACCCCACTTTGCTGGGCAAGGCTCTCTACATTGTTCAAGCTTCCTCCGAGAGCAGAGATGCCTGCCAAGCTCACCTGGGGAGTTTCCGAAAATAAGGGGGTACCCTTCAAAGGGATCCTTTAAGGGTTCCTCAAAGGGATCTATAAGGGTTCGATAAAGGGTTTAGGGTTTAGAGTTTCCGAAAATAAGGGGTGCCTTGTTTGGGCATCCTTTTAATAAGGATCCTACTAGTTCGGGTGCTATAGTAGGGTCCCCTATTTTTGGAAATCCCCACCTGAGAAGATGCCACCTGGCGGAGCTAGCAAGTCGCGAGGATAGCGGCTTTACTAGGTCGCATGTAGGGTTCCGAGGAAGAATTAGGAATCATGTCGTACTACAAACACGATATCGATACACGATAATATGGGACCTAAAAAGAGTACAGCCCTAAACCCAAACCCCGCACCCCGCATTTGGCCAACCTTTTGGAAGACGTCCACGGTGAAGGCCTTTGGCTGCTTGCCACTTGGCGGAAAGGCAAAGGACTCCCCAGCGCGGAACGGCGCCTGCATTCCAGGAAGAGGGGTGCTCTCTCGATCCGGCTTGCTTTCTTTTTCAGGGACTACGTTAGGGTTGAGGGCTTGAGGTTGTCATTTTCGAGAAACAGATCAGGAGAAGTTCAAGCAGGCAAGGAGAACTCAAAGGCATCCCAACCTGGAAGAACCCCAACATTCGAAGCCTGTTATCCGCTCGTCCTAATAAATAAAGCCCCTTCAGTCCCTTCTGCACGGAGCACACGAGCTCACCTGCTTTCGGGTGTCTCCATATCGAAGTGACAAGAAGGTGTTTGCCTCAGAGCATTTGATGTGAAAATGAGAATGATATGCCACATGCCGTGCAAGAAGAAGCTCACACGCCCACATGTGCATCACAAACATCAGGGACGGTTATGCGCTTGTCTGGGAGAGCTGCTGGCAGGTCATCTACTTCAAGCACCTTGGATAGCAGAAGTTTGTGCAACAAGCTCCATGCAAGCATTCATGAACTTTTGTCTCAGCATCTGCACGCCCATGAGTGCATGTCTACTCATCAGAGAGATACACCAACTGTTCTGAGGTGCGCACTTTGATGTCCATGGCCAGTCAAGGCAACACTGTACTATAGAAGTTTAGTGATCGGAAATGACAGCATGCATGCCGCCACCTAGATGCCTTTCGTGCAGTCTGTAGCTCCTCGGACTACTCCTTGCTTGCTGATTGATTGGAACATTTTCGTGCTCCTGCTCCACGTCTGCAAAGACTATTCAAATTCCTTGTGCCAATCATAAAAGCTCAATTCATCTTGCTTCGACCTGGTGACAACAACGCTTTGCCGCCACAACTCCGCAAGCGCACAAGCGATGTCCACAAAGACAGTTCACACTGGGCCTCATCATCATCATCCATGGTCCCTCGGAACCTTAGGTACTTTACCAGTCGTTACCAGAATCGCAAAAATTGCGTCTGTGTCGAGAACAACCTGCATACGCATGCATGCATGCATGCATGCATGCATGCATGCATGCATGCATGCATGCATATATGTATGTATATATATATATATATATATATACATACATACTTATATATGTGTGTGTGGTCATTTTCTTCGAACTACGACGATTCAGGTACTCGCAATGTAATCCGTTTCCTTAGGCCACCAGCATACTCGTCAATACTTTTGAGTCATCTGAGTTTGTTACATCAGCTACACCACACAAAGCGAAAATCTGGCTACCTGGATGTCTTGATTCACGTATAGAAGTACACGATAACAGTGCTGCTACAGTGTTGCACAACAGTTTGACAGCGACAGCTGTTCGGCAGGGCTAGTGAACAGTGGAATTGGGCTCGGCCTCTCGTAGACGTCCGGAGACCACTCGACAGAAACACTCAAAGATCAAACCAAGCCAACCCAACAAATCTTGTCGAACAACCTCGCCGATAAAACACTCACCACAAAAAATAACCAAAGGAATGTATCCGACAGCAACTAAAATTGACAACACCTAGCCGAACTGAAATCACCTACATTCCCTGCAACACCATCTGAAATCTCCAAGTTTTGCCTTGCGGGCTCCACTGGAAAGGTTCAGGACTCCAGGTGTATTAGGTGCTTTGGGTTTGTCCCGCTGGGTCCGCTGTTGACCGTAAGGTTGTTGGGTTGGGGTTTTCAGTTCGGTTCTTTTTGGTTCGTTTACGAGGTTAAGCGCAGCAAAGCACATTACCAAGCCCTGCGTGGCCCTCTGTGAGCATCCCGAGCCCTCCACAAGATGCTCTTGAAGCGGACAAGTGTGGATCCGGGCAACCATAGAAACTTGTGCGTACGACTGCAAGTGTGTGCAAATATCGATATATATATATATATATATATGTATATATATACATATATATATGTATAACCCCCAAATATAAATATAAGTATATACATATATACACACATGCACACAACTTTGTTGATCTGTGTATATGCGTTGGTATATCACATTTTAACTGTTTTCAAAATCGATCCAAGCAGCGTCGACACTGAGGACTGCCTCTCAAACTTTGCCAGGTCTTCGTTCACGAGTTCATTGAGCTTGGACTCGCAGGGCAGCGTCGGTCGATGATGAGACTACTACGGGTAAATTGTGAAAGATGTAGCGGATTATAGAAGAAGCATTAGCCGTACAGTACTAGTAGTGCGAGTAATTGGTATGCAAAGAGCCGAGCCGCCGCACTGATGCCCTGATTCTTATTGGCATCCTCCTTGGTCTCGGGCCGGACCTGACAACAAGCACAACGTACTGCAAACCTTGGGTTGTCGATGTGGATCCTACTTCTTGGACTTGGTCAACCACGAGGTGTTTAATCAGGTTCCTACATCAATCGCAACATGATGTCCAGCCCAAAAGTTTGCTTTGTCGCCCGGCGTCTCGCGGTTTTCCCGTCTTAGGGTTTGCCACCCCGACATCCCGGGCCCTTCTGTGGTGTGGCGGGTGAAACTGCCGCAAGGTGGACGCAAAGCGATGGATTTAAGATTCAGGGATTCTGGGGGACCATGGTCGGCACTAGGTGAAGCAGCGCGAGGCCACACGAGCCATGCAAGTATCTTTGCTGGGTTTCAACAGAGCTCCCACCTTGAACCCCGAAGCCTTGCCGTCAATGACCCAGCCCGACTCCTGCAAGCCATGTTTAAACTGGCTGCCTCTTTCAGCTCGCGTCTCCAAGCTTCCATACAGAAAGGTGCATTTCGTCCGAGGCGGAGAAGACATAAACTGTAACTGTCAGTCAAAACACAAACAGTCCTTCTGGATGCCAATGGAACCATCGCAAGTAGCCTGACGGGGAAAAGGCTTGCAGTAAAATGCATTCGCATGACCCCAACAACAGATCATCAGAAGCGTGACATTTCAACAAGAATAGCAGCAACCACAGTGGCAATGTTGTGGCTTGATCTGCAAGACTGCACGATGACACCGACTGTTTGACAGCTGAAACGATCAGTTGTAGCTGGTTCGTCGATTGCTTGCTTGGTCATATGTTTAAGCCAGTGTAAGCCATGGATGGTTCAAAAAATCATCTTGTTAGGCAATAACCTGCAAAAACTCACAGGCTAACGACAATCGTGATGCAGCTCGCACGCGTAAATTCAATAACAATGACATTCGTGGCCATCATCAGCATTCAAGATTCATAATCATTATGGCATGAACGATGATGATCAAAATTAGGTACCAGGAAGCCTAATTGACGCTCCACCGGTGAGCCTTGTGTTCGCACCGGTATATATGTGATGGCCTGTGGTCCAACATATAGGACGAACACAACACAGAAACTGCACCCATAACACAGCCACCAACAACCAGCAACAACTGCCATAGCTGCGACAACAATGGCAGCAACCACCGGAATGATGAGAAGCGAAGCTGCTGCATCAAAGCAAGCAAAGAGCAAGAACGATAACGACAATAATGACGGCAGTGACGCAACGGCAGCATCAGCTGCAACGGCAACAGCAGGAGCGAGGGCAACAGCAGCACCCAGCAATGATCACAATGCAGCCATCGCAAGTCTAGGGGAGTTAGAGTTCAGGGCTTGGGGTTGAGATAATCCTACATTCCGCGATCCAGAGAGGTTGGTGTAGAGCTTCCCCGCTTTTTCAACAACCCGAGCTATGTAAGATTTACAAACCTCAGTTGTCGTTGTTTCAAGGTGCGAAGAGATTCAGATCCGCAGCTCGCGTGGCATGTGAACTTGCCTTCTTTTCTGTATCTATTTGTAGCTGGCCGCAGTCATTGGTCATGAGAAAGTACCTTAGGTTTGGGTTTTGGAAGGAGGGAAAGAAAACAAAAACAGGACGCCCGGCAAAAGCTGGGGCCGGAGCGACTCTCCGTCCTTCTTGTAGACGGGCCTGAAAAGGAGCAGCTCAGGAACCGCCAAGGCACAGCAGGCCCAAGGCCAAGCTCAGGTTCCGTCTTTCCTGCGATCTTCTTTCCAAAGACAATCGACCAGCGCCCTGAAGCAATGCCAAAGCTGGAGGTGCTGAGACACACCGCAGGTAGCATTGGAACGTTGCTGCTTGCACTCAGCTGAGTTCAGAGGTGCCATGCGAATTTCTGCTCCTATATCGCTCTTGACGGAAGGATGCCCACAAGAGAGTGCATAGCAGACCCGCCCGGCCGTTCAAAGGAATTGCTTTGGATTCGAAACCCTCGGCAATCAGCGTTTCAGGCCTCGGAGGTTCTCAGCTGTCCATCATGGGATTTGTACTGTCTCCCAAGCAAGCCAAGCGGCGGTCGTTCCTTCTTCTTCTTCGGGGCCGCTTCCTCTTCTGCCCACGCAGGCTCGGAAAGAAGTCCAGCGCCAACTGCCCAGGCGAAGCTGCGACGGGATTGCACCGGCTTCTGGTGCGTCTCCACCGCCAGGAAGGCAGGGCGTCTGTCACGGGTCACAACTTGCCAAGCGCTCTACTAGAGCTTGCACTTTGTCTGCTGCCGGGTCTTGCTTGAGTATTCTGGATGCAAAGAGGGAGCTTGCACTGAACCGATTGCGCTCCTTACAGCTACTGCGGTGAAATTTGAACCAAACCTGGATTGCCTTCCTGGGGGTCTTGAGCTCTGAAGCCCACATGTTACATACTCCGTCTCTGGTCCGGACTTTCAGAGCCAGGCGTCCTTAGGTCGAGCACATTGAGGGCGAGCCCGCTCAGCAAAGCAGCCCAGAGAAATCCGCCACCGCGACGTTGCGCAGCCATGGCTCTGCTAGCTATCCTTCAGCCAAACCTGACGGGTGTCGGGCTTTTAGGGTCTAGGGTTTAGGGTTTAGGGTTTTAGGGCTAGGGTTTGCAGTTGGGGCTTTGCTCAAAATTGCATTGAAGGGGAAACTCGGGCGATGACAAGTAAGAGTAAGCGGCTCCAGCTAAGGTGTGCGCGCACAAGCCCTGTTGATATCTGAACCAGTAGGTCCTCAACCCCAGACACCAAAAACCCTTAAGCCCTTATACAGAGAATACATACTTAGAAGCAAAACCACCGGAAAGCTAGAATAACACCAAGACCTTCTTCTATATTGTGTGATAGTACATTATTAAACCCTAAACCCAAAACCCTAAACATGACTTTCTGGTCCCAGAGCTCGCCGAGAATGGGACTGCTGCAGCTCGGTAGACTTCAGCTTCACGGTCTCCCAGGCCTCCAGAGCCTTCTCCTCCAAGGACTCCGGGCTTTGTTTTTTTTTTTTTTGAGGCCCCTTTTCCTCCCTGCTGCAGTCGGAAGTCCTAGTAGTCCCGGGCTTTGGTTTCGGGTTCAGGGCTTAGGCCCTAAAAGGCTTTGGGGCTCAAAAAAGGGGAGCCTTCATGCCTAGACGAGGGTAACTAGTGATACTACCTAGACTAGGGGAGTACTGGAGTTAGAAAACGGGACCCCCAAAATGGGTTCTGAGCTTGGAAGAATTTGGGTTTTTAAGGCTCAGATCTTGCAAGAGTTTAGGGTTCTGGGCAAGTTTCGGGCTGCTGACCTGGCTTAAGGCTTACCGGCTTTAGCTTATGTAATACAACTACATGTCTTGTGTTTGCATTAGCTTCTTGGTGTGGGATAGATGGTCGGTTTGGAGTCTTGGTGTTTGGATCTTCCGTGGACCTTACTCCTCTCGGCTTGCTTTGCTGCTGAGAACAATGGCCGTACACTGAAATGCTGGGACGGGGAGTATACACTGACGTAGCCCTGTGCACCAAGCCGATAACTCCCTAAATTCTGAACTAGCTTGCCGGTCCTGGGTCGTCTTATGAACGTCTTTGACCTTCCAGTCTTACACTGCTAACACCACGCATTCTCTGAGACACGGAAGCCCCGACCTGGCTAGCGTCGCATTGAAGCTTCTTGCACACTTCCTGGGTACGCAGATGTGTGCTCCGCCTTACCGGCTACTTTCGGGTGCTTCCCATGCCTTCGTGGAGTCTCGGTCACGTGGACAAAAACACGCTAGTTGCATCTGTGCCAGGATTCTGCAAAGCAAGTGGAAACCATCAGTAACAAGTTGTGCGGACAAAGCTGGGGCACAGGCGACAATAGGATCATCCGGCAAAATTCCCGACACGCTGGCAGACAGCGTTGCCGAGTGCCTAGGCGAACTATTGAAAATGAAATCCACAAACCTTTCACCCACTTCAACTCCAGCAACTTTGACATGCACAGCAATCTTGGTTCTGATGGCAGTAACGCATAGTCTTCCAAGAGCTGGAACACCCCCAGTCCCCACCCTCATCTCGATGATAAACACCTGACAACTGTCCACTTCAAGATCGCATCATCGTCACCATCAGCAGCAGCAGCAGTAGCAAAATTTTTCAACCACATCACAGGCAGGCATCCTCAAAATCATCATGATCGTCATCATCGTCGTCAAAACTATCGTCACCAACGTGAACTCCGCGAATCTGGAAAGACTGTAAGCAGGAGTAGTGGCAGCAGGAATATTAGAAGTTAGAGTGCAAGTAGAAGCTGCCTGATAAGTGTGAGTTCCAGTGCTAGCACCTCTCTCTCGTCTCAGTCGCTCGGTCGCTCTTTGTCTCCTCGTACAAACGAGCAAACGTCAATGGCACAAAAAAGATCGGTAAGAAATCCTAGCAAGAATTCGTGTGCGAGCACTTGTACACCATTGCCAAGCTCAAGGCTTGTCGATGTGTGCCTTCAAGAACTTGCTGTGCAAGGAGTCCTCGCGGGCGGTTTGTCGTTGAGGGCTACAGTGGCTACAGGATTGTTTGTAGCCATTGCCATGTAGGATCAAAGGCAACAGGCTAAAAGTTACAGACAAAGGACTTTAGACTTACAGAGTAGGTACGGGGCTGCGAGGATTCAGCGAAAGAGAGAAGCTGGACTCCAGCGCTAAAGGTTCACTTCCCTCAAGCGCCCGACATAGACGTCGTAGAAGAGCTCCGCAGTGCCGTGGAGAATATCCGTCGAGATGATAGGCCTTCTGGTCTTCGCCTCTCTTTGGACTCAGTTTGGGGCCTTGAGACTCTGAGACTCCCGGGAAGGCAAGACCTGCCTCGGATGCCGGGGGTGCATCTTCTTGTGCTGCCACCTTCCACTTCTATGGGAGTTGGCTCCTTGCTCCCCTCAACAAGGCTAGGAAGAAGGGGGCAACAGCAAAAGCCATCAGGGCACTTCGGGGATGAGTTTGAGACATAGCCACGTAACTTCGCACACCACGTGCTTTTTGAGCCTGCGCAGCCTCGAGGGACTAACCTACGCCAAGTTGTACAACTGCGCTAAGCCGCCAAGCACGGCAAGGACGCCGAGCTTCTGCTGCTCTGGACGGCTCGTCGCTGAAACTACAGTGTTCTCATTGCATGCAGCGAAGCTGCCAGAGCTGTGCTGAAGCTGCCGCCCAGCGATTGAATCATTGGCCAGGTCCGCAACAATGTTGGAAGTATTGGCCAGGTCCGAAACAACACAGCACTCGCACCTGGGGATTACAGTTAGCGAGGCTGCATTTACGGATGTAAATGGTCCTGCAATTCGCTTCCCAGTGTTTGCATTGAACACGACAAGCCCGGCTGGCTCTCTAAAGAAATACATCTGGTTTGCGGAGTCGTAGGCATTGTCAGCCATGGCAATCGCCGAAATCCGCTCGGCATCATCAGAAGTGGCTCGCACTTCTCCAGTGCTGGGGTCGATGATGCAGAGGGCGAAGTCGGAGGAATCATCGAAGGGTCTGCAGAGGGCACGCAGCTTTTGAGTGGCCCCGTCGAAGAAGATCCCACCATTTCCAATCGACCTTGACAGAGTCTTCCGAGTAACCTCCTCCCCTGTTTCGAGGCTTAGGCCAAGAAGCTGCTGATTGTCAGCTACGAGGTAGAAGCGGCCTGCAATGTAGTCAATTGCACGAGTCGAGGACATCTTGGATCGCAGATTGATGGTGGCAATGCTTTGTGTAGTGTTTCGCTCATAATCAACTTCCACGAAGTGCTCCTGTTCCCCATCCCAGTACTGGCCATACATCTTTTGCGTTTTCATGTCGAACTCAAGGTTTCCAAGGTTGCCAAATCCGCTGACATCCAAAGTCCGGATTTCTGCCCCGGTCTCCGTGTCCAAGACATACAGCGTCTGCGAAGAAATTACCGCAAACACATTTGTCACCGGATTCACCGCCATGCCTCCAGACGGTACCGCAGCAAACTCGAAGCTACCAATGCGGCTGAAATTCATGTCATCGAAAAGAAACTTTCCTCTAGCTAGGTAGAAAGGCAGCCCTGCCCGGTCGTTCCTGAGCGTGAGCAGCTCAATACCCAGCAGCGGATCTCCAGCATCTCCACTCCGAAGGACACATTGCAGCTCTTCCGCCTCAGTGTAGCTGCCAAACTGGATGTTCCCTTGCGCGTGTGTGGTCTGCATCAACAGGAAGATGAGGAGGGCAACTTGCCAACCAGCAGTGAAGGGCGGCTTTGTCCCAGGCATCTGCATTCTATTGCAGTCTGTCTTGACTGACAGGCCAGCGCAAGGCAAGTCCGACTTACATTTGACATGCCGACTGCTTTGAGCCGAGAAAAGCAGGAAGTCGTGCATGCTTCTAGTCTTGGTCTTGACCTTTACAGACGGCCCTGCAAGCCCCAAACGCAAGCCTCTGATGCCTAGCCCTCACGCAGACCACACCACCATTCCGAACGTGCACGGCGAGGCCCGTACCGCTACGATCACCAGCGTCAGGAGGCGCATCTTTGTCCTTCCAGATGCAGAGCCGAAGCAACTATTAAGGCTTGAGGGCTTGCTGCTTACCTCTAGTCTTAAGAGCCAGGGGTGCAGTCTTTTGGGGTTAGGGTGCGAGCTAAACGCAAGCTGCGCACTGTTTGTGCGTGCATCTGACGGTTACCATCACAACGATGATGAGCACGGCAAAGACTGCACGTGATCGTCTGTGCACGGAACAAGAAGCATCTGACGAACTTAAGGTGGCATCCGGTACAGTTCTCGCATTCCGCAGACGGGTCAGTGATCGGTCTCAGGGTCCTGTCCATCGAGAGCCGTGACCCTTCAAGCAGCAGGTATTGCCCAAGCTTCTTCCCCAAGAGCTAGGGCCAGATACTGCGGCAGAAACACAGCTGCGACTAAGAAGTTCTGTATCTGAAAAGCTGCAGCTGGGCAAGTTTGCAGCCGAGTGCCATAGGACGGGCTGTTTCCGCGTGAAGCTGTCGCTTGAACGCAGAATCCTTCAAGGCAGCCTCTGCACTCTCGACAACATCGAAAAAATGGCAAGACGAAGAACAAAGAGCCTTTGTACTGAAAACAACAGTTTCTTGTGGTCAGAGGCTGCATTGGGCTGGCTGGCACCCGTCTACAACCATCTTGTCTTTTTGGGGGTTATCGAGGAAGCAAAGACCTCGGAGTGGTGAAGCAATCAAGGAAAATCGCCCCGCGCTCAGGGCTTACGCGCTTACGCGCCGCGGGCGAAGGTCAGGACCTGTCCAAAAACCCCGGAAGTCAACCAGTCATCCTTTCGAGCCTCCTGGGCCCGTTGCTGCTCGCTGTCTGGAATACCGATGGCGACGCCACTCTTCATCGTCCGCAGGCAAATCAGACCTGATCCCTGCCAGAAACTTCTGGCATACTCGGCGAAGTCGGTGTCGTACGGCCAGTGGAGATCACCCAAGAGTCGTCGGAAGTTGGCATCCCCTTTCAACACGACGGCTGCGTCGGAGAAGTCGGACTGCAGCTCTGCAGGTACCTCCCAGAATGACCTGGCCGTTGTGTAGTAGCTGTAGGCTTCCGCCTTTAGCCGCCCAGTTCCCAGGTGTGCGTTCAATCGCTCAGCCAACTCCGGCAGTCGAGTCTCGAGCCACTTCAGAACCTTGGGAACGTCCTTGTCTGTCACGTCCGACACGAAGACTGGAGCATCTTTCACATGCAATGATACCGAGGAGTCGGTTAAGGAGAGGATCGCATCCACAAGAACCAGATCACAGAGGACCTCCAAGCCGTAGTTATCCATCACAACCACCACCTTTTTAGAGGACAAGAGCAAGTCAAGGGCCTCGCTTCGATGGTCTGACACGAGGTTCTCCAGCTGCCCTCCACTCACCGAGGTGACTTCGCCGGCGCTCAGCGAAAGGTCCGCCTCTTCAGGCCCGAGAAATCTCAAGAAGAAGATATCAAGACCCTCCCTCCTTGGAAAAAAATACACAACTCGTAAAGCCCTAAGCCCTGAGCCCTGAACTCCCCGAGCCCTAGCCTTGGAGGCTCCCGCCTACAGGGCCTAAGACACCCTTCACTCGCCTGGTTTCCCCAGAGCGACCGCAGCAGCGAGGCCTCCAAAGCCTCCCACCGAGCCGAAGACCCGGGAGCCTCCTCAGAGGCCTCAGGGGGAAAACAATCTCCGACTCGGTTTAGGGCTGTAGGGCTTTAGAGGTTGAGGGGTTCAGGGGTTTAGGGGTTCAGGGTTTGGGACTGAGGGCGGTAGATGCAGTAGTTCGGGGGAATTACTTGGAGGTTCATGGGTACTAGTAGTTATAAATGGAGTTATATGTCCCCTAAGATGGGTTATAATAGTAGCTACCCTCGTATAACCCCACGTAAAACTATCCATGAACCTCCAAGTAGGGGCTTTAGGAGTTTCTTGGCTCTTAAGGTGTAAGCTTCGGGGGCTTTGGGGAAGCAAGGGGTCACGTACGTTTGGGCTCCTCGGGCTCTTGAGCTTGTGGAGGATTGCAACAGGGCTTCCCAGTGTGCCTTAGCTGCATTCTTATTACGCCCTCAGACTCAGCCCCACTCCGCCAAGAAGTCCCGCTGGCCTCTGCTGTCAGCTTCACCAGCGGCTGCAAGGAAGACTCCAGGGGCTCTGTGGATTGCTCCAGGGCCTCAAGAGAACCCAGGGAGTTCCCTTCTGGCCCCTGACTAGAATCTCACTACAAGATGGAAGGCGCGCGACTAGCCATGCCAGCAACTTGGTCGTTATGAAGGTATGACTTATGACACATATGTACATACGTACATACATATGTATATGCGTAGAGAGATAGGGACGGGGAATGTGAGAGAGAGAGGTATATACATATGCATGTGTATATATATATAGACAGATAGATGTATACACGGTACAGATATATATATATATATATATATAACATATAGATGTGTATGTATGTACATATATATATGTACGTACATATATAATATATGTGTATATATAGAGAGAGATAGATAGACAGACAGACAGACAGACATAGAGAGAGAGAGAGATGGATGACGTCTGTGCCCCCTGTCGTGTGCAGCTGGCGCCTCCAGTTTGACGGCCTCAAAGGGGTCATACGAGGCAGCCTCAGAGCCGCATCGGTCCATTTCCTGCCGCGGGAAGGGTTTGCCGGAAGAAGGCCCGGCTTAAGACATCATCGGGCTTGTTGTGGGGGTTTAGGGGTAATATTTGGGTGCTAGGAGTATCTTGTGACGGATCAGGCAGCAACGCGAAGCCGCAAACCACATGAATTTCAGTCCGTGGGTTAAGTTTGGGTTGGAGCTCAGGCTCCAACAACACGAAATCTGGAAGTCACCCTGAGGCATATCTTCCAAAAGGAAGGCTTGGCAGCGCATTTTTTCGAGTTCATCGGCCTGCCGTACTGAAGCATGCCTTTGCTACTTCAGGGGCTGCTCCAACTCTGGGTTCCTTTCAGGCACCTCGTCTATCGATGATAAGTCGCCTCAATAAGACTCAATGTGATAAATCCGCCTTGTTGGAGCATCCGTGCGGTCCCAGGGAGCTGTTCTCGCATCATTGCAACAAGCACCTGCTATTGGTATCCTTTGGCTTGCAAGTTGAAGAGTCTCGCATAAGTGCCTCCTAGCGCCAAGAGGTCTTCGTGACTGCCAAACTCCTCGATCACACCATGGTTCAAGACCGCAATGGTGTCGGCCATTCGAACAGTCGAAAATCGATGGCTGATGAGCAGGGCACTTTGGTCGGCTGAAAGCGATGCCAAGCGCTCAAAAATCGCGGCTTCTGCCTCCGCGTCCATCGCCGCGGTTGGCTCATCTAGGACTAAGAGGTCAGCCTTTTCCCGCATGAGTGCTCGACTCAAGGCCACTTTCTGCCACTGCCCACCACTGAGCTCACGACCGCGCATGAAGAGATTCCCGAGCTGTGTCTGGTATTTCTCTGGCCAGTCTTCGATGAAGGGCGCTGCCATCCCGCGTTCGGCTGCCCGAGCGACGCGAGGCTCCTCGTCGACTGCATCGATGTCTCCCACACCCACATTTGCTCCAACCGTGAGTTCGTAGCGTATGAAGTCCTGAAAGATGGCACCTATTCGCTTTTTCAATGCGTCCGGAGCCCAGTCGTTCAAATCCAATCCGTCAAGCAGGATCTTGCCTTTGCTTGGCTGGTACAGGCCTGTCAGAAGCTTGATCAGCGTCGTCTTTCCTGCACCGTTGTTCCCAACAAGGGCAAAGCGGGTCCCGGGTGGAATGTGAAACGTGACCCCTTGGATGGTATCTTCCGTGGCGCCGGGGTATCGAAACCAAACGTCCTCAAAGCGCACACCATCTCCTGGATTCGGGCCCAAGTCCTTGGTGCCTTCGCACTTCTGGACCTTGTAATCCAAGAACTCATAGAGATTCGAGAGATAGAGGTTGTCTGCGTACATGCCTCCTATGGACCGCAAGATGGCCGAGAAGGCCTGCTGGCCTTCCTTGAAGATGAGCAGGTACATCGTCATGTCTCCCAAGCTGATCGTCTGCCTCACCGCCGCAATCGCAACCCAGGCAAAAGCCATGTAGAGGCCTCCCGTGCTAATCAGCTCCAACAAGAAGCCGAAGCCTCCCTGCTTAAGGGCCAAGCTGGAGGTGTCTCGAAAGAAGCCATCAAAAATCTGGCAGTAGCGTCTCAAGAGCCAGGGACCCAGCCCAAAGAGCTTCACCTCCTTCGCCGGCGTATCCATGGCCATGACTCTTTCCAAGTAGATCTGCTCACGGAATCCCGAGGTTTGCCGCCGGGCCAGCTGAAAGGCGTCTCCTGCGAACTTCACGCCGGCGATGAAAGGCGGCACCGCCGTGAGGAGCAGCACAGCGACTGCGAGAGGAGAGAATCTCAGCAGAAGAGTGCCATACCCAACCAGGGCCAGACTGTTTCGGATGAGGCTCAAGGACTGCTGGGCCAAAGAGAGCGGACGGCGACTGGCCTCCCGCCGAGCCCTTGTCAGCTTGTCGTAGAGCTTGGAGTCTTCGAAATCCGTGAGCTGGAGTTCCAGGGCTTTCTCCAGGATCATCACATTCACCCGGTGGCCCAAAAGAGTGCCCAGGAAGGACTCGGCGACTTCCTGAGCTCGCCGAGTTGCAGCCAAGGACACCACCAAAGCGGCCTCCACCGAAAGCCAGAGCACCGCATCCGCGTGGCTCCCCGAGGAGATGCCCGAGACCACGGCGTCGATGACCCGTTTGGTCGTGGCGGCTCGCAGTCCGGGCAAGGCACCCATGACCAGCGTCAGGAAGGCCAAGCCGAAGGTCAAGGGACGGCTGGTCAGCCAAACCAGCTGAAGGGCCCGCTTCGTGCATGAAAACAACCCGAAGATCCGATCCGCTATGCCTGCCTTAGCTGGCTTGCTGGGAGGCATGGAAGCCGCCATTGCGGGGTTCCACCTCGTCACAGAAGGTCTTTGTCGAGGCTTCTGGAAGCAACGGCATGCCAGGCAGCCAGCTGCCCAGAACGCCAATGTGGATCTCGGAGTCCATACCACGGGCCGCGTCCCATCCGACACAGCCCTCTGCAGCTTTCCTGGCACCTGCTTCAAACAGGGATGCTCGACTCCTCTTCGTGGAATCGCAAGGCTTGGCTCCATGATGCTGGGAAAGCTCGACAAGAGTCTGTGCTGGTTGCGGTCCATCATCTGACTTAACGTCGGTTTGCACTGCTCTGTGAAGACGGTGGTGTTATGTGGTATTTGGATGGATGATTTCACCGAGGCATTCACACCTCTGCATGGTGGGCACTATTCAGCCAAGACAAAGCTACGGAAGCTTCGCATGAGACGGA